GTATGTATATTGATTTGAGGGTAAAATTGGCATCATTAACCATTACCTTCCCTTTCCTTCCATTTCCTCCCATTTTTTGGAGGTTAAACAAATCACTGTGGAAGGCTATGCATAACCCTCCAAACCCTTCCCTTTCCTTCCCTTCCCTTCTACCCATTTTACCCAAACACAGTTTTTTAGTCACCCTCCATCACCTTTCCTTCCCTTTCCTCTCATTTCTACTCTACCAAACTGAGCCTAGGGGAGGAGGAAAAAAAAAAAAAAAAAAAAAAAAAAAAAAAAAAAAGATAAAAAAAGTGGACGGTCATTTTCAATACATTGTAAGTAAGGGTCTCTAGTTTCATTCATATGCGACTTTTACCTTTTTAAAACTCGTCTTTAGCGAACTATAATGACTGGATCTCGTGATTTGACCCAAATAAATACATAAAACATCTTTGTGATGCAGATATGACCCAAAAAGAGGGAACCTTTTTATGGGCACTTGTTGAGTTGTTTCTAAATATAGTTCCACCATACTCTCGTAGTTATACTTTTTTTTTTTTCTTTTCTTTTTAAAAGCTATTTATATTAATTTTAATTAACTAAAAATTTGAAAATATTTTAGTTTAAGGCTCCGTAAAATGTTGATATTTTTAAATAAAACATTTTTATGTAAAATAAATTTTTTTTTTCAGTGTTTGCCAACGATCCGTAAAATATTTTATAAATCAACTTTTATATATAATTAACTATCTCTCTCTTCAGTGTTCCTCACCAATTGGAATAGTACCCACTAAACAAGGACGGACCCCGAATGTAAGGTAAGAGAGGGCAAAAATGAATTTTGAAGAGTAATAGTGCATTTATTTTTAATAATTTTAGAGGACAAATGTAATATTTCATAAATATATTACTGAAAATGAACAAATTATAGAGGTAAAATACTAAAAAATATATATATATATAATCTTAAGCCTTCAATGTGGATCCCTTCTACCCCTAAACCATCCCTCCCTCTCCCTTATGCAATGGTTTAAAATTTATCTAATTAATAAAAAATACATCATATATTTGAATTATTTTTATATAAATTTTCCTTTGGTTATTGCAAACTAGCTAAAAAGGAAAAGAAGCGTAGAATAAAAAATAGCACGTAAACCCTTTGGGAGTTTGATTATTTATTTATTTATTATTATCTCTGTCTCAATTTAATTATATATTTAAAGAATTGTGACTCACAAATAATTTTTTAAATAGGATATCTAATTTGAGAGGTGGAAGTATTATTATTATTTTTTTGTCTGAGGTTGATTAGATGGAAAGTCAAAAATGGGAAAAAAATTATAACATAAAAGACAAGAAAGTTTCACTTTCTCGAAAAAACTGTTTATCTGTATCTCAATTCCTTTTTCGCCCTCGATATTCGCTATTCTTCTTCACAAACTTATTAGCAATACTTTATGGGGTTAAATACAAAAAAATTCCTGTGTAGAACTATTAAAAAAAGTGCACGTTAATCTATAAAATTTAAAAAATGTGCAAATAAATTTACTTGACCACTTTTTAACAAAAATTAAATACAAGAGAGAAGGCAAATAAAAGCAGATTAACGAGAAAAGTTTCAACAACATGTTTCTGCTTCTGACTCTAACCGTTAACCAAGTTTCAAATTGTAAAATCACACATACGTGCGTTATTGATATATTTGTATGTTAGTCTTACGGTTTGAAAATTTGAATACATAAGTTTGGCCACAGGTAAAGAATTTTATTTAATTAAGGATATATATATATATTGCAAATGTTAATTCCATGACTTAAAAAATCAATATTTTCAGTGATTATGGAGTGTCAGATTGATGAAAAATTATTACAGTCAATTATTAATTGATATGTAAATATATATATGTCAATTTTGTGTTGTTTTTCTTAATTTTTTGTTTGAGTGTTAATTACCTAGTAATAATTATTCGGACTATTATACAGTTAATTTCTCTCAATTGCGTAACGGGTGTTGTGTTTTAGTGGTGGCCCTGGTGGGACATATTCCAATTAAATTATTAGTGAAAGGAAGGAGGAACAAGTCAGCAAGCGTGCATAAAAGTCCATGAAGAATTATTATTATTATTATTATTATTGTTATTTTTTTAACAATGTACATAAATTAAATAAAAGAATTATTTTACATTGTCTGTATTTATAATTACGAATTTATTCAACTGAAGTAAGGGTATTATCATCATTTTATACTACATAGGAACTTAATAGTATAGGAAATTTTATACCACACGGGGACTTTTTTGCATCATATTACTAGTAGTGGAGAGTTTTTTACACTTAACCCTACTTTCTGCAAAATAAGAATTGAATAATAAAAAAATTAAATGATATTATTTCAATTTTCTGCAATATCGCAGTACACATATAAACAGTGAGATTGATTGAAATTACTCTGTTATCAAAATAACACATCAATCTCACATGGGTGAGAGTCACTATAATTTTTTTTTCTTATTTTGCTAAAAATGGATATACCAACTGGTTATAAAGAGGATTCATTTAATATTTATTTATTTATTTTTTAGTATTTGAAATAATAAGGGCCGTTTTGATAATTAGAATCATTTTATTTTTCCACTCATGTTATCAAAACTAGCAAATAATATGTTCTCACAAATTTTTTGATTTTTTTTTTATATTTATTATTAACCTAATATTATTTTTCTTTTACTTGCACTTTTCATTATAAATTTTCATCTAATCAAATAGACCCATAAGATTTTAATAATTCAATGGGAGCCGCACTCTACTTTTAAGCAAATGTGCCACTCTTAAAAAGTGAAATAATAAAGTGCTCCTTACTCACCAATAGAAAAAGGGTAAAGCACACCAAATAATAATAATAATAAAAATTTTACAGAAAGAATTTGCAAATACTATTTGGTGTTAAAAAAAATACCTTATATTTTTTAAAATTAAGTAAATAGAATTTTTTTGTCAATTTGAAGATTGAAATACTTAAAATGTCCTTAATACGAAAGATTAAAATAAAAATATTGATTTTAGTTTTTAAAGGTATATTAGGAGTATTTTTGAGGTTTTCAATAAAAATTTCAATCAAAATTGACCATCAATAAATATTAAGGGACAATTTGCACATAATTTTAAATGTTCAAAATTTATACGCAAATTGTAAATGGTAATGGTGTTTTTTGAATATAGTCTATATAACAGTTGATATATATATATAGTGGATTTGATTTAAAGGAAATGATCATTTATTAAGAAAATTATTGGATTTGATTAAAAAGGAAATTATCATTTATTATCTCCCTAATTCAAATTCAATAAAAAACTGGTGTGTTACAACAATTTTAATATGAAAAATTTTAAATTAGAGTAATGCTATTGCGAGAGCGTTCTCGCAAAAAAGTCTAAAGAGCTCTCGCTTATAAGCTACACGATTCCTTTTGAAAATTAATTAAGAAGTAACTCCCGCTTATAAGTCACACGATTCCTTTTGAGAATTAATTAAGAAATAATCCTTTGCAATAAGGAAACAAATAATTATTTGTTTTTCACCCTTCTTTCTACATTATTCCTTTCTTACTCTGTTAGTTAACACCCTCAACCAATCTGTCTCTTTCTCTCTCTTGGTTAAAAAAATAATATCATCTTTACCTTTTCAATTGAATAAGTTACGAAAGGGTTTGGATTATTTACCTTTTCATTTTATTCTTAAAGTGGGCAATACTGAATAAGTTATGAAACATGTTATGTGATTAATTTCTTAAAAAACTATTAGATTTTTGTTTTATTATTATTATTATTATTATTATTATGTGTTTGCTTGATATAATTTAGACGGTATATGGCTATTCCGCTGTTTATTGAATTGTCATTTTTAATTTAAAACATCTTATCCATTTAATTTAAAAATGGAAGCCATTAGCATTGATAGCATTCTTAGAAAGTAATTTCCCAAAAGAAGACAATTAAAACACCATTCCACCCCCCTCCTTCATATGCATGGTAATTTTTTCTTCATCAAAAGATAATGGAAATGACTTAATTGGTTTGAGGATCTTTTGATTCATAACTTTGAGAAAATCAAACCTTCAAGAAAACAAAACTCACCTATCTTCGGTAATTGAATTGATGGCATAGAGAGAGAAACCATGGATAGAATGCAGTTAGAGAGACTTTTTGACAGAAAGACAAATGGTTAATTATGAGAGAGAAAGAGACAGACTCTTTAAAGATTAACCAAGAAAGAGAGAAAGAGACAAATTTGTTGGGAGTGTGAACTAAGAGAGAACGTGGAGACTTTTTGACAGAAAGACAAATGGTTAATTATGAGAGAGAAAGAGACAGACTCTTTAAAGATTAACCAAGAAAGAGAGAAAGAGACAAATTTGTTGGGAGTGTGAACTAAGAGAGAACGTGGAGAGAAGAGAGAAAAAAAAATTATTTATTTTATTATTATAAAGATTATTTCTTCATTAATTATTTCTACCAAATTTTTAAAAAAAGAATCGTGTGACTTATAAGAAGGAACTCTTTAGACTTTTCGCGAGAACGCTCTATCAATAGCATTACTTTAAAAATTATATAAAAAGAGGTATTAAATTAAACTCATTTTAATGTTATGTCTAATTGGATAAGGATATAAATGAAAAGTTTAAGGAATGTAGAACTAAATTCTTAAATTTTAAAATTTAAAATTAGTTGGTAGTCCAAAATGGGTAAGACAATTTTTAAAAGGCAAAACTGCGATTTAGGATAAGTTCTTCCATTTTTAATATCCAAATACGTAGTATTAGATAAGACTCCATCTCGTGCTTGTTTTATGCGCACATTTCGGGAATTCGTCTTCTTGTCAATTAATGACTAGTGGTCCACACAAGCCTTTTCTTCGATATGCCACGTGGGCAAAAACTAAAAATTATTTTTATTTTTTACTTTTTAACAATCACAAATTTCTCATGGACTCCATTTAATCTTCCAGAACCTATCAGCTTTGTGCTGTTCCCGTCTAGAGCTGTATGCTAATTGATCACGCTTTCCATTCACATTTTGTTCTTGTTCCTTAGTTTCTCTCTCCTCATATACATATACACTTTATATAGAGATAGATAGAAATGGAAATATTGTGAATATGTATACCTACTGTATACTTATATAGAGAGAGAATCAAGATTTTTTTTTGAGCAAAGAATTGTCAGTATAGAGAGAGAATATATATATAGAGAGAGAAGATTGTGAAGATGGATGCGAATGATATAGAAGCTGAAGAATTGATGTATGAAAGGAAGGAGTTGGAGAGGAGTGGATCGTCATTCATGGATAGAGAAAATGCTGTGTCGATCAAAGAACCGCTTCTCAGGCCTAGGAGGAACAATACCTCTCAGATTGCCATTGTCGGGGCTAATGTCTGTCCAATTGAAAGCCTTGATTACGAGTGAGCTCTCAATTCAATCTTTCAATTTTATCTATTTTTACTATGTCTCTTGCCGTGTTTGGTTGCCAAGAAAACGGTAATGATTTCTAACATTTTCTTGGCAATCAAATATGTTAAATTTACAGAAAGGGCGTGTTGGATTTGATATCTTGTATTTATGATTTGCGCGCGCGCATATATATATATACACACACGGTTGGTTATTGTCGGGTTATCGTGGGGTTGCTTGTTTTGATTTCCTATTTATTTATTTATTTTAATTGGCTCCTTTTGCGCAAGCTCTGGTAAGAATGGTGATTATATATAAAATAAAAATGTGTTTTATTTATTTATGGATTTGAGGGTTTGAAGTTACTATTTCCTTCGAATCATGTTGGATGATGAAGAATTTGTATTGTATATTGGAAATTAGTTGTTTAGAAAGAGAGTGACGTTTTCGGTTTTTCTCTTCTGTTAAGTGGTTGATATTTGGACCAAATAGGAGTGGCTAGATTTTGGTTAGACTTACCGTTCATTCAAACTGCATTGCACTTGCTGCATCTAAATGTGTAATGCTTTTTGTTTGTGTTTATTCAGTCCCAGGTGGGCTTAAATTATCTTTTTTTTTTATAATAATAATTATTATTTTTAATTCAAGTTTTCTTCTTGGTTGCTTCTTCTTGTGGACTGGAAGCATAAAATATAAAATTTTATTTTGCGTGCCTTTGAACATTTATTCTTGCCCTTCTTCTTCTTTCACTGGTTCGGATTTAGCATACTAATTTTGGGGAATTGCCCTACTTCTGGGTGTGCTTCAGTAACTTTATTGAGAAACTGAAACATTCGACATAGTGCATCACCCTTGCTTTTGAATTAAATGTCTAACATGGCTTCCTTTCTATTCTGTGGCAGTTATAAGGTCCGAAATGATTGGACTGTCTGATAAAGATGTTAATGTCACCTTAAAATCATGCTCTTCCCTGTAATCCAGATTGATACTGTTGTAAGCATTAAGCAATTATGGTGTCCCTTTATGCGGGACTTGAGTAAACAGTGTGATAATTCATCCTGCTTGGTATTACTTTGTTCTAAACTTTAATTGGTGACCATTGTATGTTTTCGATCTCAGTTGTTGGTATGGATTTTTTGCAGGATTGTCGAAAATGACCTTTTTAAGCAGGATTGGAGGTCTAGAAGAAAGGTTGAGATTTTTCAGTATGTTGTTCTGAAGTGGACACTTGCACTTCTTATAGGATTGGCTACAGGGCTTGTTGGCTTTTTCAATAACCTTGCGGTTGAGAATATTGCTGGTTTCAAGCTTCTACTTACTGGCAATCTTATGCGTAACGATAAGTAAGCCTAACTTCCACAAGCTAAAACATATATCTGAAGTTCCTATTGCAATCATATATTTGTTATTGGTTCTTCTGGTTCATATTTGTCTTCACCACAAGAATGTTTAGTTTTTTTCTTTTTAGTTTGGGACAATACTGACATTGACATTCACATATGACGTTATTATATAGACATTATGTGCTGATTTAATAACTCATCCCCCATTATTGGGCTTAAATATTTCAACTAACCAAGAAAACCATCTCAATATTTATTTTTGAAATAAAATGCATTGCCTTTCTCATTCATGGGACAAGTCTTTGGTTGATGTCATGCCTCATCAATTTCACTTTCTCTGTGGATCAGTGGAACCCACCTGCACATCTTTATGGTTATAATTGCACGATGAATCCAATGAAGTTCTTTAAGCTCAGTTATACAGTGACCCCATCTTTCAATGACTGGTTGTTAATTCATGTTTAGCATTGCCCATGGGTAGGCCTTGAGAAAGAAGCTCTGTTTCTTTTCCTTTTCTAGTCTAGAATAGATTTTTTCAATAATTTAAAATTTATGACAGAGTTGATGCAAGTTTCAAATTACGCACTGCTTCTTTCAATAGGATTTCATATTGCTTTCCCTTTTTTTTTTTTTGCCCCAAATAAACATATTCATTCATCTCTCCTGTTTAAGTTTGCTTTTCATTTTTTCATATTCTCCTTTATATGGAACATAATTTGGGTGGACTGCTGCTGTTACTTGGTAGCAAGCTAAAAGCACTCTACTTGAAACAGCTTCATGCTAGGGGATGTCAACAATTTGCTTCTTCATCTTTGGAGTAAATATAAAGTAATTTTGATTCCAGTGCAGGTATTATCAGGCATTTGCAACATTTGCTGGTTGCAACATGGTTTTGGCAATTGCTGCTGCAGCCCTCTGTGCTTATATTGCTCCTGCAGCTGCTGGATCTGGCATACCTGAGGTGAAAGCCTACCTCAATGGTGTGGATGCTCATTCTATTTTGGCCCCAAGTACCCTGTTTGTTAAGGTGTGTAAGAAGCTCATAATAACTCTCTCTACACAAGGTCAAATACAAACTCACACAGCATGTTGCTATATATTTGTATTGACCCATTATTTGTTAGATGGAAAAAAAAACCTCATTTGATTTTATGACATGAGTTTCATGGGATATTAAGCTTCAAAGTCTCCACAAGTCTTTTGTAGCCACTAGCCAGTGATAATAGAAGAGATACATCTAAAGGGCATTGATTTATTTTTAATTATGCTATTAAAATTTTTGCAGAAATAATGTCAGAATTGACACTAAACATGCAGATACTTGAAATATGAAGGTATAAAATATTTATGCTATTGAAGTAACCTTAGCCCAAATTAGTATGTCAAAAATCAAAATCATAGAAACAATAAGTTCTCCTTATACTTCCCCCCTCAACCCCTTCAGTTAATCTAATCACATTGAGTAAATTATGGTTTCTAATATCTAGATATGGATCCTTGAAGGAACAAGTTAAGATAATTTTTTTTTTTTACATAAGATGAAAGGGACAAGGAGCATTGTATGCTTCTTGTAGTGTGTATATTTAGAATAATTCAAGTATTATGAACTGTTTGAAGTTCACCTGACGCTGGAGGCAGAACCACATCTCAATACACCTGGAGAATAGAAAGCTTGAAGTTGGGGCAAGTATTGATGATATGGTTGGCGGCGCCCATCTGTTTGTGGTGATGCGTTCGAGAGGAGCAGAATATGACTTTCAACAGAAAGGAGCTCTTGGTCTTTAATATGTTTACATGTATGGTGTAGTTCATTGTTTCTGCAGCTTTCATTTTTCTCCTGCTTCTTTCTGGATCTTATAGTTCTAGGAAGATGCATTGTTTTAGTGCTATGGTGCTTTAGAGTTTTTCTTGTATTCTTCATGAGTAGTGAATACTTGGGTTGCGTTCCTTGGCATTTTCTAATACATTTATATCTATCAAAAAAGAAAACACATTTAATACATTTATGGTGCTTTTCATTACCTCCCTCCCTCTCTCTCTCTCCCCATTGGTTTTCTTTAATTTAATTTGGTGGAAATGACCGTTAATGAGGCCTAATTTGAATTTTCTTTAGGTTTAAGATCACATTCAAGACAAATGCCTAGTGTCTTTTGACAGACATTTTTTTCTTTTTTTTCTTTTTTTCTTTTCCATTGGAATACTAGATCTAGGGACTCAATCTGGGAGCATCTTCTCGTGGATCACATTAATAGGCCACCTTAGAGTCTTCTTTCGCCTACTCTTTTCTGCTTTAATTTTTTTTGTTTCGTTTTTCCTTTCCTTTTTTCTTTTTAAACCCTTTGCTTTCCCTCCCTAGTGAAAATACCTCTCCTCTGTATATCTCTTGGTCATTCCTTTTTCAGGCATTAGTGCTTCTCTTTTAAAAACCATTCCTCATTGTGTATTCTAACACTGTCACTTAAACCCAGCGTTTCAAAGATTCTGAAAGTTAATTTTTTCCTTGTTTAATTGACAATCAGTTGAAGTATAACATGTTCAGTCCTTCAATTGAAAGAAAGGACCGTCTATAATGCATCATTTTGGCGAGTTTCAATTTGTGAAAATTTTAGCAAATATAAATTTGAATGCCTAGACCTTTTCTTTTACTTTAAATTTGGATATTTTTATCCAAACACATTCCAATTGGTTTGCTTTCAAATGTTGCTTTATCAGAAGTACACATAGCCAAATACATTCCAATTGGTTTACTTTGCATAGTTGCTTTATCAGAAGTACATGTTAAAAGCCCACGTGTTAGCTCGGCTAGTAAGGTTCTTGCGAGTACTCCCCTTGCATTGCCAGTTTGAGACTCACCAAAGGTGAGGCCCAAGCTGAAAAATGATGCACATGGTTTGGGGGCAATTACATGCATCTGGAGTTTACGCAACATCCGAGAGTCCAAAGTGGCTAGCGGGTGGGTCGATTCTTTGTTACCAACAAAAAAATAATAGTAATAAATAATAAAAATACACCAACTAAAACAGAAGCTTCCATTTAACTAAAACAGAAGTTGCCATTTTCACCTTGTGCTTTTTCATTTGTTTTCTTAATTGTTTACCATTGGTCATTGCACATCAAGCACACTGATGTAGTTCATTGTTGTGCTACTAATTATTCGATTTTGGAAAATTTATGCTTCTTATATTTATTTTTGCTATAGCACCTTGGATGTGTTGTTTTATTTCAATAACTTGTCACTTAATTTACGTTAACATAATGTACTGTTTTTATGGTGAGAATAAGTGCAATTGTGTTTTTAGAAGATGAGGAAGTTATACTATAAGTATTCTCATATTATTAGTTGCCTGCTATCTAGAATTTATTTCTGATGTTCTAATTGTTAATTATAATCTAAATTTTATAGATATTTGGTTCCATTTTTGGAGTTGCTGCTGGATTTGTTGTGGGTAAGGAAGGACCCATGGTACACACTGGCTCTTGCATAGCCAACTTACTTGGACAAGGAGGTTCCCGCAAGTACCATATCACTTGGAAATGGCTCAGATACTTCAAAAATGATAGGGATCGACGGGATCTGATCACCTGTGGAGCCGCCGCTGGTGTGGCTGCTGCCTTCCGCGCCCCGGTTGGTGGAGTCCTCTTTGCACTTGAAGAAGCAGCTTCATGGTCTCTCTCTCAACTTACGTACATATTGTAGGGGAGTGGCATCTTTTTACTCGGAACTTTAGTTGTTCTCGAAAAAGATAGCGAAAAATATTATCCCTAGAGTCGAGACTAAGAGGAATGTATATACCATAAATAAACACTGAAATTTCGAATAGTAATTTTTTTTTTCTTTCTTTTTTTATAAAAAAGGGAGAATTCAATCAAATCACATTGATCCATCAGCATTTAAGAGCTGTTGACAATTTTGATTTCCAGACAGTTTTCTGAATGCATTACTTTTTATTTAGTGCGAATGCCTTTGTAGCCCAGTGGTTCGGTTGCTTCCCGTCGTCTTTGGGAGCCCCAAAAAAAAACTTTTTATCTAGTAGTTTTAAGGTTCTAGTTTTCCTTGACTTTCTTATATCATAATTAAGAGCATGGCCTTTTAGTATACCCTATTGCAGCTATTCACCTCTTCTTTCTTAATGTGTTTAGGTGGCGGAGTGCTCTTCTTTGGAGGACATTTTTTACAACAGCTGTAGTTGCTGTGGTGTTAAGATCGCTGATAGAATTTTGTCGGAGTGGAAGATGTGGGCTATTTGGGCAAGGAGGACTGATCATGTTTGATGTCAATTCGGGAGTGCCCACTTACAGCATCCCAGATCTATTAGCAGTTATATTACTTGGAATTATTGGAGGCATTTTTGGAAGCCTTTACAATTATTTTGTGGATAAGGTTCTTCGTACTTATAGCATCATCAATGAGTATGTCCTCATAACCCTTCTTACAGTGATGAGAACATTGCTAATTATATACATCACCAAGCAAACACAATGAAAGAAACAATTATCCAAATTTGTTGGAAAACACACAGAAAGTCTGTCCAGGATATTTTTTTTTGGAAGTTAAAGCAAACACATACATGCAAAATAGGAGGATTAACTATTAAGAAAATGGAGATTCTTCCTCTATTGAGTCAGTGGGCTCGGCTGGCTTTCTTTTTTGTATAAGAAATAGACTGATTGATGGATGGCAGCCACATGGAGTAATTCAATGGATCTCGTTTCATAAACCGACTTTATTGATAATGAAAGAATAGCTGTGTCTTTAAATAGACAATGCTCAGTCTATTCCTCTGTACTTACCAGAAGAGTGTGGCAAGTAGGATGAACTAAGCACTCAAACTCGGCTTGGAGATCCGTGTGAGATGGTTCAACACCCCTTATTATCCACATGTACCTAGCGGGACTCGAACTCTCAATCTCCCCATTTGGAGAGGAGAGATCATACCATCCGGGCTAGAGGTCCGGTGGTTGTCCAAGATATTTGTATAGCTTACATGACAAAATATCAAATATATGTAATCTAATAACTAGTGAAATATTCATGTTCATAATTCTATAAATAATTATTAATTTTTTTTAGGAAATTCTGAATACTACATTAGTTTACACATTATTTTCACGTGCATTACTTAATTTGCTTTTTTTTTTTTGTACTATCTGTTCTTAATTTTTTTTTCAGTTAGTATATACTTGTCCGTTTTGTTTTACCATTCACTTCTTTAGTCTTGACTATTTTGTTATTTTTTCTGCCATTGGCTTCAGAAAATTGTATACTACGTGGATTGATTAAATTCTCGAATCTGGAATTTTAACACTGCATAGAATTAGCATTTAAATTATTACCGATATTAAATTTTAGTTCTTAATAAATTGCAGAAAAGGTCCTGCATTCAAGGTCCTGCTTGTCATGACCGTCTCCTTTCTGACCTCTTGCTGCTCTTTTGGCCTCCCATGGCTCGTCAAGTGCACACCCTGCCCTGTTGGCTTGGAGGATGAATGCCCCACCGAAGGTCGTTCTGCAAACTACAAAAATTTCCAATGTCCACCAGGCCATTACAGTGACCTCGCTTCCCTCTTTCTCAACACCAATGATGATGCCATTCGCAACTTATTTAGTTCTGGAAATGAACAGGAATTTCACTTCTATACTCTTTTTATTTTCTTTGTTGCTATATTCTGCCTCGGTATTATTACTTATGGCATCGCTGTTCCTTCTGGTCTCTTCATTCCTGTCATACTCGCTGGAGCCTCCTATGGTCGACTTTTGGGGAGCCTCATTGGGTCTATGTCTAATCTTGATATTGGTTTCTTTGCCCTCCTCGGTGCTGCCTCCTTCCTTGGTGGCACCATGAGAATGACAGTATCCCTTTGTGTCATACTCCTTGAACTTACTAATGATCTATTAATGCTCCCATTGGTGATGCTAGTTCTCCTTATTTCAAAAACTGTGGCTGATAGTTTTAACAAGGGCGTCTATGACCAAATAGTGATTTTGAAAGGTCTGCCTTATATGGAAGCCCATGCTGAACCATACATGAGACACTTGGTTGCAGGTGATGTTGTTTCTGGGCCCTTGATAACATTTTCCAGCATTGAGAAAGTGGGTAATATATTACATGCTCTAAGGCTAACAGGGCATAATGGGTTTCCGGTGATAGATGAGCCACCTATTACAGATGCAGCAGAACTTTGTGGGCTTGTTTTGAGATCTCACTTGCTTGTTTTGCTTAAAGGAAAGATGTTTACAAAGCAGAGGGTGTTGACTGGAACCGAAATTTTAAAGAGGTTTAACGCATTTGATTTTGCAAAGGCCGGATCAGGAAAGGGGCTCAAGCTGGAAGATTTGGACATTAAGGAGGAGGATATGGATATGTATGTTGATCTTCATCCCATCACTAATACTTCCCCGTATACGGTGGTGGAGACAATGTCTCTAGCGAAAGCAGTAGTTCTGTTTCGGGAGCTTGGCCTTAGGCACTTGTGTGTGGTGCCAAAGACACCTGGGGTACGCATCTCTCTCTTGATTTTTTTTTTTTTGGGGGTTAAAAAGTAATAGGAATTCTTTTCTTTCTCCTTTTGTTTTCCTTTTCCTTTTTGGGGAGTTATAGAATTGTTTGAAATGAAGGAAACACTATTTTGGTTTATTTATACTTTTTTAGGATAAATTGCAATAATCCCCTGAACTATAAACATTTTTTTTCCAACAAAATTCCTGAACTAAATTCCTTCAAATAACCCCTTTAATCTACTCGGCAAAGTTGGAATTTACCCCTTTCATCAGACGGCGTTAAAAATTAACTGAAAAAAGTCAAGTGCTCTATTTATGTTCATTTACCCTTTTAGACAATTATTTAACATTAGCTTATTTGTAATGAATCAACATCAATTCGAACCGATACACCAGCCAATTTTTTACCCGAGACCAATTCCGTGCCAAAACTAAATTCAGATACTTGATTTGTTGTACAACGGGTCTAGCATACAATCCATATTGAAGAAATTATAAGAAATGCAGTCTCTCTAATATACTTGTCCTCCCTCGTTTCGGTGCTCCTCCTCTACTTCCTCAACTGCTATTTCTTTCCTTTATCAGCATTTATCACGGCTGCTATGGTCTCTTAAGGTGAAAATGCTAATGGGTTTTTTCAATTGTGGGAGTTAAAACTTTTTACCAAGGAAATTTGGGGGTTTTCCTTTGGGAGCGCTCCCCTTTTGAGTGCCTTAAATGAAATTACTTATCAAAAAAATAAATAAAAATTGGGGTTTTAAGTTAAGGGAATGAATCAGTGATTGCCATCAAGTCTATTTGGTTTGGCATTTGGAGCTGAAAATTAGTTGATAGATGATGATGATGGTTTTGAAGCTTTGTTAATTGTTGAATAATTTAAATATTAAAGTTATATTCTTTCTAACAGCTCAAGCTTTGAGAGTTGATGGTTATTAACAAGATTTCAAAGTAGGCAAGGTCCTATGTTCAAATTTCACCATCACCTTGATAATAAAAAATTGAAACACATGTTGGACCAAAAGAAGACTACACATGAGGGAGCGTGTTGAAGGATTATTTATTAAAGTTACATCCTCTCATTTCAGCTGAAACAGAAACCAAGTCGTTCTGACTATTGGCATTTTATAATTTTATAACTTCTTTTATTCATAATTTTTTAATTAAATAAGATAAGGCCAATTATTTGCAGCATTGAGTGGTTTATCCATAAAATCATTATAGTTTAATGGCTTTTCTTTTTTTCTTTCTTGCAATTTAACCTTTTTAATTATTATTATTATTATTTTGGATACTTTTTATCTTAATCCATTTCCAGTGATTAATTGTTTTGTGAAAAATGTCTATTTTCACAAATGAATCGACTTAAATTCTTGTGTCCACTTGAGTTGCTGCAGCACTTTTGAGATCAGTAAAAATTTAGAAATTGTTCTTTCTTTCTTTCTTTCTCGTTTTCCCCATTTGATGTGAATTTTGTGAGGAATTTCAAAGCATACTTTCTGGACATTTTTAATCTTTACAGAACTCTTGAATGTAACAAATGTCTTGATTTCTCATACTTTGCAGAGGCCTCCGATTGTAGGTATTTTGACGCGTCATGACTTTGTGCCGGAGCACGTTTTGGGACTCTACCCACATATCAAACACCACAAGTAGCACAAGTAACAAGACAACTCATTGTTACCATTGTCTATTCTTACAGTAGCATTATCTAGCTATCATGTGCCATCCTTTTGTAATTACAAATTATACACCTTTTTTATTGCTTATAATTTGAGGGACTGCTTTGAGGAAACATTTTAAACGTAAAAGTAGGTCAAGATGCAAGCATTGTATGTTCTTATTCCAAATTGCATTCGTCGACTTTGTCATGTACAGGTAAAACTAGCAATCTTATATTGCGGATCTGTACTTAAATTTTTGTTCAGATTTTGGGTTGAGTCTATGTATGAATCCTCTATAAAGTCTGAATAGTTCTAAGCAATGTCATATGGACAGGTTCTATGAAAATGTGAAATCCCATTTTCTCTGTGAATTCATTATTCGCTTTACGTTTGTTTCAAATGATGCATCAATGAAGCTACATTATTTCTCTGCATTTACTCTTGATATCTTTGTTAATGAGATCTTGAACTGTTGTGATCTGTGCAGTGTGTGAATTTTGATGGCACTGTAATTGTCATTATAGGGTGGTTATGGCAATGACAAAATGCAGGCGTTTGTTTAAGTTTTAAGACAGAGCGCTGGTTGTTTGTAGTTTTATCTTATATAAATAAACAAATAAAGTTTTAAATTTTATTTGGTTGAAAGTTTTCTAATAATTGTTTTTTGAAAAACTTGATGTTGGTGGAGAGAACCATTCCAACTAGACACCATTTGGACTTGTGACTACAACAGTCTTTTATCCAACCAAGAATATTCTTTATCACTAGCAAATCATGGATAATCAGGACTTGAACTTGAAACTTGAAAGTAATTTATCTGCAAACTTTGATGGTTTCGATTTAAATGTTTTCATAACTCTCTTATTTTTTTTTATTTGATAAGTTCTTACTGCTCCTCTTTTTTGTGAGACGCCCAGACAAATGTGCTCTCGGTCGGATGGCTTCGGCAAAACTTACGTTCAAAGACTCGACTCAATGAACTCTCAAAATAAATGATATATCAAACTTTACTTCAAGAGTAGAGTGGTGGAATGTGAGTGTATTTTTGAAAGGCAATGTGTCATTGCATTAAACAAACTCAGTGCAAATGTAGTGTGAATATCGTCTCCGAATTTGTTTTAACTTTCATAAATTGCTTCTAGGGTAGCAGGGTGGAGTAAAGAACAGTGTCACATAGTGGGCAATAAATTTGGAGTGAGATGTTATATCCTATGGGTTAGAATGTCTGTGTCTATGAATGGTAAAATTAAATTAAGACTTTTGTTTTCATAAATATTAGGTAGTATTTATTTCAGAGAGAAACTTTTCGTTCTCTTGTTATGCACTTGTCAGTACTAGCTTATCATATGTTGCCCTTTGTGAAAAAGTCGGTTTAAGCGGATTCGATTCATATAATACCCTATCGATTTTGTATAGACCTCACAATAAGTTGATCCATTGTAAAGTTCGAATAAAATTTTATCAATTTTTTTATTACCGAGAAAAAAAATATCTAATTTAATAACAAAATGAAAACATTCATACATTACAATTAGTTGTTCAATTAAATTTTAAGAAAATTAAAGAATCCCATGGATAATATCGATTAGAGATCCATCGTCCAATAAGTTGAAACAAAATTGACATCAAAAGAAAAATATATATTTAATAGGACTTGTATCGATTGATGAGCCAAATTATAATGTCTTGATTTCGATTGATTCAGATCGAAGAAGCAATGGCACTCCATCCCGAATGCATATATAATTTTAAAAATTACTTTTTATTAAAAATATAATTTATCTTTAGTAGAGTTCTCCATGCTAATTTTACTTACTCATGATCCTCTATTATCAAGATTTTAGTATAAAATGTTAAAAAGGATTGCATATTTGATTCTGCTTAGGTGTACAGTATAGGGTGTATTGTTGATTAATGCAGAAATATCTTGGCCATTTTGCACACGTTTTTAGAGAAATCTTATATTAATTTCCACTATTGGCACCCTGTAACATCACACTTCAACACTTAATTTTTCTATAAAAAGAAACAACAAAGAAATTATCCCTCAATAGTCCAAACTCAAAATTTGAATATAGTAGTAAATATTTTATTCATAATTATTGACGGTGAATGGTATTTTGAAGTACACTTGCATCAATGGTATTTTGAAGTTAGCGGATTTATTGAAAAAAAATATAAGAGCATCTCCAATCATGTGTGTGTGTATATATATATATATATTTGTATAAATCTATTCATTGGTATTATGAAGTTATCGAATTTATTGAAAAAAGAGTTATCGAATTTATTGGAAAAAACCGTAATAGGGTCTCCAACTGTTGTGTGTGTATATATATATATATATATTTTTGTGTAAATAGCGTCTCCAACCGTTATATATATATATATATATATATATAAATCATAATAAATTTACAAAAAAATTTTAGATTATTTATTTTTAACTCCAATGATTATTGTATATATTTTTCATCCAATAATAGCCAACCAAGTGTTATGGAGAGAAAAAAATGAAATATGCTGAAACGAGTATAAAAGCTGTATAAAATATACAACAATTTTATACATTTGTGTATCTTAACAGACGGCTAAAAATAAAAAAAAAAAGTTTACATACCATACGGGACCATACACAAAAAGAGTACTAAAACATCCGATGAATATTTCATAAAATTTGGATAAAATATTTTACTCTGTTAGCATTTTATTTATATTAAAAAAAAACCAAAAAGTAAAAAAAAAAAAAAAAAAAAATCTCACCGACGCTGTTTCAAAAATCATGTACATTTGTGTGTTGGGCAGTTAAAGAACAAACAAATTATCAGTAAAAAGAATATATATGAAGTTTAAACTCCGATTAAAAACCAAACCGAGTACGGAATAAATTAATGTCTAAAAATAATAGGTCGAAAGAAAAATGATTCAAATTTCGGGACCTACACTGCAAAAAAAGACTCCTTTTTATTACAAGCACAGAGAGTTTTTTAGAGAGAGAGAGAGAGAGAGCATTGCGCACTTGCGCTTTTAATTTACAAGTTCCTTCGTCCCACAAAACTTCTATTCACATACTCCGTCTCTCTCTCTACATCTCTTTCTCTCTCTAATTCAAAAGTTGAATTTTTGAATCTCCGGCCTTCCGCCGGAAACTCTATATATACATTCATATATACACACGCACATATATACACATATATATCTATATATTTACATTTTTATTCATATATTCTAGTAGATCTCACCATTCTGTTTCAAAATCTAGGGTTTACAATATCGATTCCGTGTTTTCATATACCTGTCTATCTCTTCGTTTCTCTATCTTATTCGATCTAAGATTTTATTTTTTTGGATCTACTATTGTTTCTCTCTGTGTCGTGTTACTGGAGTTGTTGATTGACCGAATCAATGGAGGCGATCGAAGAATTGGCACAGCTATCGGATTCGATGCGACAAGCGAAATCTTTGATCACCGACGATGATATTGATGAAAACTCGTCTTCGTCGAAGCTGCCTTCGACCTACCTCAACGTTGTTGCTCTTGGGAATACTGTGAGTCGATTTTTTTTTTTTTTTGTGTTAATTTGAATGTCGAATTGATTGGATTTGATGCTTTATTTGTTTCTTCAATTGAGTTGGTGAATAGATCTCTGGATCTGGTTGTATCTGGATCTTGAATTCTATTGTATTTGAGGCATCTGAGCTAAGTATAATATAATGGGAACTGTAAATACAATTCAGCAATTATATTTACACACACATTTGTTTGGCTTGTCAATCGGTTTATGGCTGTTTCATGAACTGTGATTATATTCCTCTTTTAGCGTGTTGGTTACTCAGATTTTCTATATTTCATGCTTGATAGATCGCCCGAGTAGGTTCAGTCTTTCTTCAGATTTTTAGATTTGATGTATCATGTTGGATTAAGCATGTCATGCATGATATCATTCATCTGCAGATTTTTGATGAACTCCTATTTAGTATATTTCAAGGACCTCTTAACGAGCTCCAAATGATTACATAGGGCACCTTTTCTACCAGTACTTTATTACCTCAAACTCTGCTTCACTGATTCATCCAGATATAATGTCTATATATATTTGAATTTTTCAGAAATGTGAAAATATTTTGGTTCTGATCAATGTTGGTTTTGGAGAATGTGGTTTGATTACAAAACTCCGTGGACTCTTTCTTATCCCCTCTTCCCCCGGGTTTCTAGCTATTTAATGTAATCGTATGAGAAGGCACCTTAGCATTACATAATACCGGTTTGGATCAGATTATATTTGATTTTAATTGTATCTTTTCCGCACTGGTCATTCTTGAGAGAGAGTAGTACTCTACTGAAAGTTGCTTCTAAAACTTGTTACACAAGCCTGAATCAGATCAGATGAGCTGCATTTTGCTTGACATTGCTGCTACAGTCCCCGACAGTATCACCAAAATTTGTTACCGTTGCTAATGTTGCAAACATTACTGAATTATTTGAACTTGTATCCTAATCTAAAAGATTGTCTTTATGAATCAAAAGTATACCAGGAGGTGGTTTGTTGTGGTTTATAAATGAATAGTATACGAGGAGGTGGTTGTTGTGGCTAGCGGGACATGTGTTATAAGGTCATGGTTGTGCACCCTGACCAAGGGGAAGATAAAACTTCCAGAGATGAAGCTGGAAGCCGAGTGGCAGTGGACCATGGGATGTAGGATGATGCCTTAAGGCATATAGTCAAGGCGATTGAACATGGTGGGCTAGGCTTTGTTATGTTTATGATTAATAAGGTAGATTAGGGGTTTGAGATGTATTTAGGCTAAACTGATTGATATTTAGGCTGACTTTGAAATGAAATGTTGATTATGGTTGTAGGAGCTTTTGGAGAGCAAGGAAAACAAAGGTCTTTTAAGAGCTATATTGTTGGGTTAATTGGGGTTTAGGGTTTTAGGCTTTTAGACCATAGATTTAACACATTCGCCACAATATATTTTGAAGGTCAGATTAGGGCTTTCAATCATGCAGATGCTATTGGAAATCAAAATATAGAAGAAAAAGAAGAGAAACCTAAGAATTTTTTTAAGGCCTTCTGGGAATACAAATTAATGGATTCCTTCTATTAAAAGATAGCAAAAGTCTCCAGAGAATTGCATTAATTTAAGTTGCGTAGTGTCCCTATAAGGCTTCAGGCTTGTAAACCAGAATTATATTTTCCAGATTAATAAAATTTCTAAGGCGCTGCAATTGAGGAATAGTTGATTTTCCTGTGTCAACTTATAGCATAAGCTCGTAGGGGCTAATTACTATAAAGAGGAGTGATTGTTGTTGCAAACGGGTTCTGAGTTGACCTCATGAAGAGATCCCATAGTCGCATTGAAACTGCATATTTCCATGCTAAATTTCAATGCCCATGTTTGACATGTAGGCTGTGGTGCAAGGCTTGTTCCCTTTTTATTTATTTATTTTTTTTTTCTCTCTCTCTCTCGAAGTATGTAAGGCTTGTTAATGTTTTGGACTGGGAGCTGCCGGTGTTGTCAAAGGTGAACCTAGGCGCTTGGCGCAACCCTTGAGCCAGCGACATGCACTTGGTGCGTGCGTAGACGTCGGGCCCGGACTGCTATTCTTTTCTTTTTGGTTTTTACTTTTCTTGGCTAGAAAGGGGAACTTTGTCTTGTTACGTAACTTCTGTTTAAAAGAAAAAAAAGAGAAGTCCTTCGATTATGATCGCAAGCGCCAAACTAGATGAATGAAACGAAAACCTCTACGTCGCAGAACACTTGTAGAGACGATCCGGTCAATTCTTCTTCAACGTCCTCTCTCTCTCTCTCTCTCAGTCTAGTTCTTCTTCTCTATATTCGTCTACTTCTTCTTCACTCTTTGTCTACTTCTTCTTCTTAGGGATGGCAACGTGCAGGTATGGGATGGGTTGTCTTTAACTCTACCCTGCCTCATTTATTAATTCTCTCTAGTCTCTCCCATACCCCTCATGAACCCGGGACGGGTTTCTCATCTAACCCTGCTCAATGAATGGATCTCAGACTCCGTCCCCGTCCCGATCAGTGTTGCTAAAGGCACACCTAGGCTCGAGGCGTAGGTCTAGCGCCTGTTGGCGCACTGATGTTTACTAGGCGCGTGCCTCACTTTTTTTATTTTTATTTTTAAATGATCATCTTATTTCTTAAGCCAAAAATGTTACTTTTGGTAAGTTAATAAACAAATAAGAAAGCCGAAGCGTATGAGAGAAGGAACCTTTGTTCAAAAGAACAAACAAATAAGAAAGCCCAAGAGTCAAAGTGTCAACTGAAAATAGAAAGTGAGAGACTGGGAGACGAATGACAAAGCCAGGTTAGTTCGTTGTTGTTGTTCTTCTCTCTCTTCTCCTCTACTTCTCTCCATTCGTCTAGTTCTCTTTTCTCTGTCCTTTTTTTTTGGGGCTCTATTTTTTCTTCTTTAACACTTTTTCTCTCTTCATCCATTCTTTTTTTGTCTTTGCATCTTTTTTTTTTGGCTCTTTTTTATTTTTTATTTTTTCCCTTTTCTTGTTAACAGTTTCTTTTTGTTCTCTGTTTTACCTTTCAAAAAAACAAATTCTGTTTTGCCTTTCAAGAAAACAAATTTGTGCTTTATTTTATGGTTCTTGAATGCTTATATAGTTGATGTATTTACTTTTTTGTATTTGATATAAAATTTTAGAATGTTGATATGACTTATGAGATATGAATGCTTTTATGGTAGTTTAAATTTTCAATATTGCGCCTCGCATCACTCAGGCGCGCGCCTCACCGTGCCCCTCGTGCCTATGCTCCAAAGGACCTCTAACGCCTTGGTGCGCCTTGAGCCTTTAATAACACTGGTCCCGATCAACACTGTTGTACCATGGAAAGTTAGGGAGGTAAAGGGGGAGAGAGATACATCAAATTTTCAAACCGATCCATAAATTACAGATTTATATATATAGAGGTGTAGATGAATATGTATACACAGTTGCATAAAAGATAAAGCAGAACATTCTACATGCCTTTTTTGGTGCTCAAGTGTGCCTTGAATAGCACCGGGTTAATTCGGTCTTCTTCTGGAGAAATTATTGGTTGCAACTGTGATACCACGTTAACATGGCTCATGTGGTATCACAAACCAATAGATGCAAGCCATGTATTAGAGGAATATGGCTCACATGTTTACATGGTTTTACATGGCTTATATTTATTGGGTTGTGATACAAGTCAGTTGTGTTCCTCTAATACATGGCTTGCATTTATTGGTTTGTTATACCACGTTAGGCATGTGATATGGTAACAAGGTTGCAAACAATATTTTTTCCTTCCGGCCCATGCTGCTGTGCAACGTCCAGGTGCAGTAGCAGAGAGCAAGGAGTAAGGGTTCTTCAAAGAAACGACTTGTCCCAATAGATATTACATGTTGTGCAATGTGGCAAGTTTAGGTCGCCGCATAGTTTTTGATAATTTGTTACTATTGTGGCCAAGGTGCCATTCAAAGTGGGCTGTCTACAAAAGGATTTCATACCTTTTAGTTGTATTTCTTCATTTTGGAGTTCTTGGTAAAATTACATGCAAATGTTACCTAAGGTGGTAGTGCTAACTCACAAGAGAGTGAATGCTTTTATTACTAGTATGAGTGGGTAGCTTGCCACATATCATTTCCAGATCTAGAGTTTCTATTGATGCAGGAAGTTAATGGGACGCTTTGTTTTGGTTATATTTTTTCTCCGAGTGGAAGGGGTAAAATTCATCTCTTTGTAATTTGAATTTATTTGGACAAGAAATTAGTAATTTGTGCTCTTGATGACAACTATATTAATGTGTCTTCTATACGCCACCTTCCATTTGTTTCTGTTCTATGTTGTGTACAGTTGAACTCAAATTTGTACGGCATATCAATTTTATGAACCATTTGCTTGCCTTGGCTTGCTACCTGATTGGAGAGGGTTATTAATGGTGTACTTGGATTATTATTTCGTTGTGCTTACAGTTTTTAAGAGTGGGGTTTGTACTACCACATGAATAATGAGGGGAAGAAAGTTTGGGATATATGATTCTGTCTTTTTGCTTCGCTTTACTTTAACATGGTCCTTACCGCTAGTATGTTGTCATTGCAAGTATTTTCTAATTGTGGACAAATTGTTCAGGGTGCGGGTAAATCAGCTGTGTTGAACAGTCTAATTGGCCATCCTGCTTTGGTAAGTTTTTTTCTAGTGTTAGCCTTTGTGTTCTCGTGAAAATTTTCATGTATCTTGAATTACTTCTGCTCAGAAGTATGTTTCTTTATCTATTATATTTTATTTCTTATTTTCTTTTTTTATGTTCTTTTCTTGGACAGCCAACTGGTGAAGGTGGTGCTACTCGTGCTCCCATATGCATCGATTTAGCAAGGGATGGCTCTTTGAGCAGCAAATCAATTATGTTGCAGATTGACAGTAGTAAATCCTCACAGGTTTCTGCAAGTGAGGCCTTCTACCAAACTGTCTTCCATTTATTATAATCAATACTGCAGTTTCTTGTTAATTAAATTATTACAGCATATCTCATGACTCAGTCTTCTGATGACACTGTTTGCTATCGTTCTCTTTTCTGCCCATCATAGGTGCTCTTCGGCATTCTTTACAGGATAGGCTAAGCAAAAGTTCTGGCAAGAGTCGGGATGAAATATATTTGAAGCTTCGTACAAGTACAGGTTAGACTGGATCTCTCTATTTTGTTTATTTTGCAGATAAGCGATCGTGTGAAATTTATCTAGGCTTTTGTCTTCACCTTTCCCTATCTTCTTGGTGGCTAATGCAGGAGTAAGAAATCAATATGGATTTGTTTTTCCTGTAGAAAAATGTTAAAATGAAGGAATCTAGTTGGACTGTAGGTCATAATATGATATCAGGTTTGATAGTATGTATAGAGAGCTTCTAGGCTTTTCTGTCGTTTGCCTATTCTGAAAGGTTTCTCTAAAAATGGTTGGATATGGGAATTTTTGGTCAACCCTGAGTTAAAATGCTGCTCTCTCCCCTCCTCTTCTTCTTTGGTCATGAACCAGAGTATTTATTTGTCTTTAATATTGCCTTTTGCTACCAAATCCTTAAAAAACTACTCATGTAGTGCACTTAGTGATCTTGAATGTATTCTACACACATGCATGTGGTCATCATTTGGTAGAATATTTGCATATATATATTTTTGTCTACTGGAAAATTTAGAACAATGTTTTACACCTTTTTGTCTCCAAAATAGGAGCAACCTTTTTTTATTAGAATAACAGTTTATCTTTTATTGTTTTTGAAAATAGCAAGACACTTATAAATTTATTTGAGGAAGGAAAGTTTCCTTCAGTCCGGCTTTTAGATGAAGCCATTAAGCTTGTGTTTTTTAGTAGGCTCTAGGCTTAAAAGAGTTTGTATATACTTTTTATTCAAATTTTATCTCTCATCTTTTATTTTTTTCAGTGATTATTTATTGACATGTTATATATCACATCTCATATATATTATGTATATTATATTTTTTTAATTCTTATCAAATATTTGGTTTATACATTTGCAACTTTATTTGATTTAATTGATGTATTTATGTGAATTGATTTAATTGACCATATTAGTTAATTTTTTTCTGACTATATGATGATGCAAATGAAAGGTTTTATGACATTGATTTAGCTGAACCTCAATTGCTATAAAGTTATCTCATTTTGATGTCGACTAGAGGGGTAGATTGCTGGCCTTAAAAGAAAAAGCAAAACCAATGCATATTTTTAAAAAACAAAACTTGGTTATTACCATATTTAGTGACATTTTTGTCATGTACGTGCCTTCTTTCTCTCAGGCTTGCATTTATCTTGCATTGTGCGCTTGCCATTTAGGTTCCAGGAGACCTTGGTGCCTTAGTGTGCCCTGAACCTCTAATTGCTATGACTAATGAAGATAATAATGCCCTTTAGTGAGCTGTATAGAAAATGCTACCCCCTTGTCTAATTTATCATTCTCTTAATTGTTGGATTTCTGGATCTGGTTGACCTCCGCAGCTCTGCTGCTATTGATATGATAAAATTCTAATATCTTCCATAAGGTGACCCTGTTGCTAAGAAGGCAGTTATCCCAAACTATCCTTTTTATGATCAGAAATAACAACACCCCTCAAACAAACATTTAAAAAACCAATCCTAACTGCGAGGATACGGATGCTTTGATTGAAAAGCTATACCGTCTTTCTCAAATCAACTTTAGAATTAATTTTGTCTATTGGAGAGGATTAGAGGAAGATGGCATTCCAATAGGATCTTCTATTTCTAGAGTGACCAAAAACCAAAGCATTGCCTAGAATTTTTTTTCCCCACCATGTATCAGCCAAAGAATTTATCACCTCAAAGATTTTAGCGGTTCTTTCAAGCTAAACAGCCAATTGATAGACAGAAAGCATAAGCCCACAAACAATTTTCCGTCAAATTTATTTTCGTAAATGATAGCAATACAATTTAAAACACAGTATTTCCTGTCTCTCCAAATTGTCTTTATAGGAGTTCGTTCGAAATCCATTTGGATCTTCTAGCTTGTAGAGGTATTATCTGTATTGTATCATCCGTTGGTTTTCTACTTGTATATTGGCTCAGACACTTTAAGATGTTCATGTTTATAAAAGTTACAAAAACAGTTGTGTTTCAAACTCTTAGATGCATGTAGAAAAATGTTAAACAAGCATTGCACGAGCCGGTACTCCTCCTTCCCTTTCTCTTTAATTTCCCCGTTTCCTCATGGTAGGTCCATAAGGTTCTGAAGACATCTCTTAGCAATACATGATCTTCTTTTAGTCTTTTTCTGAATTAAGTTCTTTAATTTGATTAAAGGAGAGAATGAGTCTAGACATAATGCTGATGCAGAATGATCTCTCTTACAAAATTGAATATCAGAAGTGTGCAGGAATCATCAACCAGTTTCCCTATTTTACCAAGTTAATAAACAACTGAACAAGTGCTTTAACGTTGATACTTTTTTTTTGGTTGCAAAGCTTTTCCATAGAATTTTACAACTTCTATTAAACAGACACTGTTTTATTCGAGTCAGTAATGGTATTCTAATAGATAATTTGGGACTGCGTATAATTTTGGTGTCCTCTATGGCAAATTTTGTTTGCAATCTTATGTCTGGTTCACAACTAGACTTGCTGAACTTCAGGCGTAAAATTGAGTACTGCATATGTCAACGAGAGACGTTAGTTTGCAAAGCCACTAAGAAGAACTCAAACAATAGATGGGGGGAAAAACTAACAACCACATTTTGTTACCACTGGTACCTCTCCTAGTATTACTTTACAGGCCTTCTTCCTTCCACCCCTCTCTGTAGTCTCTCCTCCTTGTAGCAGTTCCTCTAAAGTATTGAATGTTTAAGGGAGTCAATTGTTATTGGTTTGTCTGCTCAAGGATCATATATCTATCCCCTTGCTCGTCTCTTCTTATCTCTAGTATTGCCATAATCTCCTGTTTCTGCATTCATTACCACCAACCTATATTTCCAATTAGAATGCATTTTCCTCTTTAAAATTGCATCGCTGACCACCTCCATCACTTGATGACTTCTTTATTGACACCCTTTGTCCACCACCAACACCAATATGTCCATCACCTGCCACCACTCTATGTTTGCCACAAATATTCCCCTCCATACTATTAAGCTACCACCACATCCACTACTGAGCTCTCAGCATTGCGAATTTTACAGTGGTAAATATTCAGTTAAAATTCCAACAAGAACTGATTTTTTGCTGATCCTGGGATTTTGATGTTTTCACATTTTTATTTTTGAGACTTCATTTATTTAAAATTGGAAATCTAATGACCGTCTAGTTCCTCAAATCTTATCAACCTATGTTGTTGATGACATGGTTATGCCTAGGACTTGTTAACATGAGGTAAAAAGATTTTCTTCATCTTTTTACTCGCTTGTTATGAAACGGCTGATTGAATTACTTGTCTAAAGGTTTTATTTTCTGGTTTTTTTTCTTGTTTTATTTATTTATTTTTTAAAATTCACTACTATGACACTTTACTTTCCTCTAATTTTTTATTATATTTTTTTTCCTAGCTCCACAACTTAAATTGATTGATTTGCCTGGAGTGGATAAAGGAAATCTTGATGATCCATTGGTGAGTAGCAGCTAACCTAATACTCTTTGATTTCAAATTTTACTTTTAAAAAATGGTGCTTAAAATTGTTTTTGTTAGGGAATTCTTCTGATGCATATTCAGTTTATATGCTCTTCTTGGGAGGAGATCTAATTGTATCATCTTTCTTATAGAGTCATTACATTGAACGCAATGATGCCATATTACTGGTTATAATACCTGCTGCCCAGGCTCCAGAAGTTTCCTCATCTAAAGCCCTCAGAATTGCAAAGGAATATGATGGAGAATGTGGGTTTACTGTTGACATTGGATCTTTCTTTGTTATACTTGCAAGACTTTTTTAGTACTAATTTGTTTTGAAATTGTTTTCTAAATTAGCATGTATTGTTCATTGTAGATACCAGAACTATTGGTGTTATTAGTAAAATTGATCAAGCAGCGACAGATCCAAAAATCCTTGCAGCTGTACAGGCTCTACTGTTAAATCAAGGGCCAAGAAGTACATCTGATATTCCATGGGTTGCTTTGATTGGTCAAACTGTTTCTATAGCCTCTGCACAGGCTGGAAATGTTGGATCTGAAAGTTCTTTAGAAACTGCTTGGCGAGCGGAGAGTGAAAGTCTCAAATCTATTTTAACTGGGGCCCCTCAAAGCAAGCTTGGTAGATTAGCTTTGTTGGAAACCATTGCTCACCAAATCCGTAACCGTATGAAAATCAAGCTGCCAAATATTCTATCAAGGTACTCTCTTTTTCCATTTACTGCATATCCTTTAATTTTCATTATTTCTCAAAGCAAGTTTGATTCATCAATAATGTTGGCCCAAGGAGGACTTTGAGCCGTTGATTGAACTATTATCTGTGAACGATGATGGGATATAATTGCTGCATATTTATGGATATAGGGGGACAAGATTCACATGGATATACCAAATCTTTCTTAACGTTTAGCTTTGGTGGAGACCCTTGCTCACCAGAGAGGAAGGATGACACGAGGGATGATGCATCCCTTCAGGCCCACCATTTTAGTTCCATTAAGAAGTCAGATGAAGAGGAGAAAAAAATGGATATTTGTTATATGAAATCGAAAAGATATTCTTACTTTCTTTTTAATTTATCTTTTAAAGGTATATTAGTAAAATATTAATAGCATCTTTTTCCTTGCATCCCACTAAATAAAAGGGAGATGAACACCATCCCTTTCCTAGGGATTCCTTATCTGTCCCTCCCTTATCCCCTACTTATCCATTTTTTCATCCCTCCTACCAAATGACATTTAAAGGTATATTAGTAAGATAATAATAGCACCTATTTCCTTCCATCCAACCAAACAAAAGGGAGATGAAGACCATCCCTTTCCTAGGGATGCCTCATCCATCCCTCCCTTATCCTTTCTTATCCATTTTTTCATCCCTCTTGCCAAATGGAGCATTAATGTGGGTAAAATATAAGTCATGTAGATAAAACATAATTCTGCCCCTTTCACTTAAAACTGATGGCGGTATGTCATGAGGTGTTTCAGAAGGTTAACCTGACAGAAAAAGGCGGAAGACAATGTCAATCTGGTTCAATTGGCCTCTCTAGCATCCTCCACAGGAATGCTTTAGGGCGTGATATTATGAAAAGGATGCGTTTTGCTTTTACAACATTCATTACTTAATTAACGTGTATTGAGTTTACTACATTATATGCCCTTGTTGGTCATACATTTGTTCTACTCTGCTGCTTGCGGATAAGAATTTAATGACTCTACGTGGATGATGTTGAACTTCTGTTTGATTTCATATTGTGAAGATAAATGTTCATTATTTAGCTGTATTTGCCAAAAGCAAAGTCAAAATGGTTAGCAAGATTGTCAGCCAATCAAAAGTTTCTACTTATTGGCTTCTTGGTCCCCTAAACTCTCAATATTCTCCCCACCCCCCCCACCAAAAAAAAGTGTTGTGGTGGTTATTGCTCCCCTTGAGTCCCAGGTTCGACCCCTTGTCTGTGCACTTTTACTTATTTAAAAAAAAAAAACTCTCAATATCTCAACCATAGATTTACAATTTCTCCATGTACCCAACAAAAAAGTGAACTAATAGTAGAGAACTTAAGCAACCCAATAGAAGATTCAAGGATCCATCTTTCTGTCCATTTAGTGAAAAGGGAACGGTGGAGCTTAGATGTGGGGGGACTATACCCTTTCTCTCCTTCACTTCCCTTCTCTCTCTCCCTTCCTCGTTTGTCTCATCAAATGACACATTGGAGACATTTTGAATTACCTAGTTTTATCGAGAAGAGGTCACCCGATCATACAGAACTGACCTTTTGTTGTACATTCATTGACGGCTTTTGTCCTCCACTTTATGTGGTGTATGGATATCTTTCATTGTTTTCAATTATAGTTTCAGCTTTAATGTGTACTTGAATTCTATGTTCTCCTGTAAGCTCCTAATTAATATATTCTTTGACTACCGCTGCAGTCTTCAGGGCAAGTCTCAAATTGTGCAGGATGAATTGGTAAGGCTTGGTGAACAAATGGTTAATAGTGCTGAAGGTACAAGAGCATTGGCTTTGGAGCTTTGCCGTGAATTTGAGGACAAATTTCTCCAACATATTATGACTGGTGAGGTGAGAATTCAGGAAAACTTCGATACATGCTATTTAGTATTTTGTTGTTCAATAGGATCCTCAAAAGAATCAGTAAGAACACTATTCCTATGTTTCATAATTTTTACTGCTAACCTCCGGGATAATTACATCTTCTTTTCCTCGAGTTATAGACCTGTGTTACAAGAGTGAACAGATTAATGTAAGACGTGTAAAATGTCAGTTGTGAGCATTGAGTAAAAGTCCGAAGGATAATCGAATGCATCTAGTGGTTGTATTCAAGCTCGGAAAATTAAACATTTAGTATGTGAACTAAATCATAATAACATGTTGACTTATCAAAAAAAAAAAAAAAAATCATAATAACATGTTGGGTGGTTTAATTTGCATGATTAGCCTATGAGATGGAGAGTTAATTTGTTGATGCTTCTTATATCTGTTTGCCTACTCAAGGAATAATTTGGGTTCTCCTTGAAGTTCATACTGCTTTTGTGTTATAAAGTTCTGGCCATACTGGAAAAATGATATGAAAAAGGCTATTACTGTTCTTCATGTGCCATTGAAATGTGCACAACTTGCTTTATTGAAGATTTTTGCTCTTTCATTTCTGTTTCTGGGGGAGGGTTTAGGGTAACTCACAGCAGCATAAGGTTGAATTATAGAAGATTTCTTGTTTAGAAGAGAAGCAGCACAGGGGGACCCCATTGTGAAGAAGCTTTAATGGATTCAGATAGGCTATATGATTATTTGGTTTGTGGTTTATAATCTTGACTGCATCGATCTTTTTCATAATGGATTATTCGATGGGTAGGACATTGCTTTTGGATTCTCTGAAGCAATAAGAAGGGAGGTTCCGTGTGGTTTCTATTTAACGGTTTTTTTGGTTTATCTGTACCCCTTAAATTTGGCTTTTCAGCTTGGGCCGCAGTGAGGAATAATTATAGTGCATATGCATGTAATTTGAGGTGGACTAGCTTTGGTGTAATTTTATGTTCAAGTTTCATAATTAATTTGTTGTATGGTTTAAGTTGAGTTACAGTATTAATTTCCTCCATTTGTGGGGCATGGAATCCTCGCTTCCTCAATGGCCAATATTTTGAGTTGGTGGTTTTTTGTTGGGAGATGTGGATGAAGCTGGTGCAGAGGGGGCATCACTTTTTGATGTGGTGCTTATTAAAAGTATGATGGATGACGGCTTGCTATTCTGAAGTTTAAGGAAATGCTTTTCAAATCCTTATCTTTTGTGGGGATTGAACTGTGGCTAAGCTTCCGGATGTGTCATTATATTTCTGAGCTTTCTTTTCTTTTTGACGACGTTAAAGCATCTGTTATAATTCTTTATTGTAGGGGGGTGGTTGGAAAGTTGTTGCTAGTTTTGAGGGCAACTTCCCTAACAGGATCAAACAGCTTCCGTTAGACAGACATTTTGACATTAACAATGTCAAAAGGGTATTTCCTCTTTTATTTTCATTTTCTTTTTTAATGTCTCACTTTATTTCTCTTTGTTCTTATGATGGCATTTTAAATGTTGCCAGATTGTTCTAGAAGCAGATGGTTATCAACCCTATCTTATATCTCCAGAGAAGGGGCTCCGGTCTTTAATTAAAGGTGTATTAGAGCTGGCTAAAGAACCTTCTCGTCTTTGTGTCGATGAGGTGAACCTATATAATATGTCTTTACCCATCCTTTTCTCTATAATTTTACTGTGATTTTAACTTATCATGCACGCTCCTTGTTCATCTTTGGCTGTGCACAGAAATTTGACCCCTTTTTATCATATGTATTTGTCTCTACAAAATTGTGCTTGCAAGTTTAACTCTCTTCCATATGTGCGCATCTGTTATTGGTGGTTGACAACATTTACTTCTTATTTCTTGTATTTGCTGTTCTGAATAGCTCCATTTTGATTCATAGGAGGCTAAGTTGTTTTAAAATGTGTGAACATATGGTGTGCTCATAAACTATAAAATGTGTCATAGCATGACCCATGTGCATGTAGATTAGAAATATAAGAGTTGCACTTAATTCTTTGATTTCTCTCTCTCTCTCTCTCTCTCTCGGCGCAATTTCATTGATGTGACAATTTGCCTTAATCGCAATTTCATCTGGTTAAAGTATTGAGTTAGTTCTCTTTCTTGCTTTCTAAAAAAAAGACACCTCAGATGGTGGGTGTCTGGCATGAGGCCTAGAGTGCTTGAAAAAAGCCTGGGTGTAAATGACTTGGTACATTGAAGATACTGATATTGAAATTTTCCAACTCTAAAAAGTTTCCCTGCTTATTTCAATGAATGTTTTTTGCCATTTTTTTCAATGAATGTTCTTTATCAGTACCGTTCCGACACATGGCAAAATATCTGATGAGGGAAATACACGAATATATTGCATGAATCCTGATGATGGCAATTATCTATTTTATGTTTTATCGTGTGGATGAATTCCTGTTTTTTGCTCTTGTTTTCTTGTTCTACTAACGAAAACAGTTTTTGATGCGACTTATAAAACAGGTGCACCGCGTACTTGTTGATATAGTTTCAGCAGCGGCAAATGCTACACCTGGCCTTGGTAGATATCCTCCCTTTAAAAGAGAGGTAATTATGCCTTACAGGTCCACATTCCTATACTCTGTGTGGGTAGGGATTTTTGCTTGTTTCTATCTTTTGTTCTTGTGGTAGTACTCAGTGGTTGTTTAATTTATTTAGGTTGTGGCAATTGCAACTGCTGCATTGGATGTGTTTAAAAGTGAAGCAAAGAACATGGTTGTTGCCCTTGTTGATATGGAGCGAGCATTTGTTCCCCCCCAACATTTCATCCGTTTGGTGCAGAGACGGTATGCACAATATTTTGACATTTGCAATTAAATGGTTTTGTTGATATTCCCCATCCATCCCCCCCCTTCCCAACCAAAAAAAAAAAAGCATTCTTGTGAATGTGTAAATGTATATGTATTTAGTGGTGGCAGTATTACGTGTTTAACTTGGTGATGGATGTTTTGAATTTTCTTCCCGTCATATTAAATGTCTCTTGAACAAATTATCTGTGATAATTGAATTGTATTTTAGTGTTTTGTTTGATTGCATAGTAATTTTATGGATTAAAATGTGGTCTTGAACTGTTTGGAGGCACTATAATATACGAGGGGTAGCTGAATGTATTTTAATATACATAAACAGTTCCTGTGATTGATGTTATGGAGGGAAAAGGTACATCATGGTTAATTCACAAGTATTATTTTCTCTTTTTCTTTCTGGGGAAAAGACAAGGTTATCTAAAGTACTTAGCCAAGAAACTTGAGGGAGAGGAGTAGAAAGAAATAGTGTGTACCATCTGCATTGGATATTAAAGATAACATATGTATTCAGCATATGCATTGTTAACAGATGCTCATCAAGGTAGATTTTTTTTTGGCATTGATGATTTTTGAAATAGGTCTCTTTAACTTCTTTTCTTATTTCCATTCAGACTTTCTTGACAATAAAGCCCTTGTTAGGGCATATTATTCAACTTATTTTATGCATCTTATGAAGTCAATTCTTACATTTTAATTTCAAACCACTGTTTTGTATTCATTTTTATACTGTGGTCCTATTTTCTTTCCTTTAGATGATGCCTGTTTATTCTAAGCTCCCATGGAAATTTTTAAGATTTGACATTTTATTGTCCATCTAACGTCGTGATGTGCCGTTGTCCATGTCGATTCTTCTCATTAAGTTTAGGAACAGCAATGTGGTCCACCCAGATGGATGGATCACTTAGTTAAATGAAGATATACAAATACAAACTTTACAAGGGTAAAAACATAGTAAAATAATATAAAATTTAATTTGATATTCCCTTATGTCTGTAATTATGTTCTAGTATGTTATGAATTGTTGTATTCCTCTGATGATCCCTTGTTTGATGTTACTTATCTAAACACACAGGAAAAAGGATCCCTTTTTGGATGTTTAATCATTTATCTGGCTTGCTATGTTGTTTGTATGATGATGCTTTCATATCTAATTGTCATGTGGACAGAATCTCGTGGGTTTGATAATTGACCTCATCATATGATCTCTCTGATCAATTGATTTTTAATTTTGCTAGGATGGATAGGCAACGACGTGAAGAAGAAGTAAAAAATCGATCTTCTAAAAAGACACTTGATGCAGAGCAATCCATGTTAAATAGGGTATGTGCCCACTCGCTTTCTATTGGAATAGTTGGATTGTTGAGTTCTTATATTTGATGTAATTTTTTTATTTTCTATGAGTTCATATGAATTTGCTCAGAGATTTTATTTCAGTAGGTTTCCTTGGATTTTTATGCTTTTCTATTTATCTTCTCTCCTCCATTTTAGGCCACTAGTCCTCAAACAGGTGGCCAACAAACTGGGGGCAGCTTAAAAACCATGAAGGATAAATCTGGTCAGCAAGATAAGGATGTACAAGAGGGATCATCGGCCTTGAAGACTGCAGGGCCCGATGGGGAGATAACAGCAGGTTTATGGAGAAACGGTTTCTCATTATTATTGTCAGTCTATAATGATGGTTTTTTGTACCCCTTTTAACAGTTGTATTATCTTGCATATGAATTCCATGAATTTTTGGATGAAATTTAAGATCTTTACTTCTTTGTTTTGATTATTTTGTGTAAAGCACTTTGGGGTTTATCTAAACAATCCTACCCAGAAAGAAAAAAAAGATGATGAAATGATATTAAGCATATCACAGCTGCAATACCCAAATTCCTTGGTGGAAATATGGATAATAGTTTCTTCTTATAATAGTTGCCCTTTTTTTCACGATTGAGAACAAATTCCATGGTGGAAATATAGATATTTGCCAGAGTTTCTTATGTTTCTATCTTTCCATACCGAATACCATAAGTGGACTGGAGGGTTCCAATAATTAACCATACTGCTTTTGTGTTTGGAAATATACCTGGGTTCAATAATTAGTCTAGCTCAGTCGTTCCCGATCTTTGTCTAGTTTGGTGCTCCTAATCTTTGTGCTATTCAACATATTGGCATGAGCTTGACTTGTTTGATGTTAAATTATTTTTCTATTTTATTAATGGTGGTGGTTGTCTGTGGCCAAAGATTGACACATTCCTTGCAAGTTGATGGTGTTATGTTCCGGTACCATGCATGAAATCTGTATGGCTAGCACTTCAGCTTTCAAGTGATTAAAAATCAGGCTAAACAGTGTCTAAGTGGGCTTTCCAAAGGTTTAATAGATGGAAGCTAGGGAAGACTGAAATGCCTATTAAACTCCCTTAAACTAAAAGGTCTTGTTATGTGTAAACACACATAGCCCACTTTTAGATGAACTTTCTAATGGACCCACATTTATGAGTATAGTTTCTTTCCATGTTTCTCCCCAACTGTAATAATATTGTATATGAAAATTGGGTCCGTGTAGCATTTAAAGAAGATATTGGATAACAGTTGTTGCATTAGCTTTACACATAATGTTTTGGATGCCTATTTGTCTACTTGAGCGTACTTTTTGTTGTGTATCTGCAGGATTTTTATTGAAGAAAAGTGCAAAAACTAACGGGTGGAGTAGGCGATGGTTTGTTTTAAATGAGAAAACAGGAAAGGTTAGTAGCGTTGTGTCAGGAAAGTTTAAGTGAGACTACCTATGATTTAACCTTTGTCTCTTTACCCATGTTGATTTAAATTGGTACCATGTGCAATGCTGTATGAATGTCTTCTATTTTTATTACCTCTTAATTTGTGGAAGTATAAATTTTCCACTCCTGGCTGGATTGTCCATCTTATCTGACCCGTATACACAATTATCATCCACCTTGAACATTATTGTGGCTCCATCATCTCAATTTGGATGCTTATAATTCTTGCACAATGAAGCATATTTTCAAAATATAACATTAATGGCTCTTGTGTTAACTGGTACTTTTGCTTATAATATGTATTTGAAAGTCACCCCGTTTCATCAATTGTAATATGCCTTTTTCAGTCCATGAGAGAACTAGGATCTCTTTATATGGTTATTGCTTGCAGTCTCGTCAATTTTAGCAAGTATTTAGATTTATTTATAGATAGATCTGATAAGTTGACTGCTACCTCATTTTGCAGCTCGGATACACCAAAAAACAAGAGGAGCGGCATTTCCGTGGTGTCATCACATTGGAGGTATGCAGTGTGGCTGTTAATGTAGTAGTTGCGGACAAGCTTTCAATTGTATATATCTTTTGTTAGACAGCTAGTTAATGGATGTTTGTGTGATCTATTCTGATTGGCATATCTCTAACCAAGCTTTCCAAACAAAGTTACAAACAATTATTAAATTTGGAATTGTTTTAGTGAAGTAATGAAACCTGATCATCAAAGAAAATGCAATATGCTTTTCTTTTGGCTCTTTGACTTTCTAAACTTTGTTGTAGACACCACTGATTAATACTGTTACTTCTACATTGTGTACGCAGCTCTCAAGCTCGAACTCGCATCCCCACGCTTGTCTTTCTGAGTTTTACCATTGCACCAAACAGTGGCCCTTCCTTTACTACACGAGTTTATAGAGTGGCCTGACATTTTTTCTCCTTGTGTAGTCATTGTCTTGAAATGCATCTATGTGCCTGTTTACTGTTTAAATGGTTGTAGTCATTATGTTCGTGAGATTGCTTGACCATTTTTTGGCTTAATAGTTCTACAATATTTGTTGAAAACAAGGTTGAGGTTTTTGCTATACTTGCAGTAAGGATCTTTTCAAATGATTTGGTACTTGCATATAAGAACTTATGGCCAGTGCTATATTTTTTGTATGGGTAGGATTTACGATTTAGATGTTTTGGAGGATCATTCAATCCTTAATTCCCAATTCATAATTTTGGTTGAACTCAAGCTGTCTTCTTGCTAAGATAGTGACAATTTCCACCAAAGCTTAAACTTTTAAGAAATGGGTGCTACAATGTATCAAGTTCTCACACTTCCTCACTTGTGGCCTTCCCTTAGACGTAAAGAATAGACAAACAGAAAGTGTACAACCCTATCTTGACCACGGAGAGCCAGAAGGAATGTAGTGCAAACAGATAGAACTTGATACCCTGAATCGTGGCCCTAGCTACTAGCTAGAGTTTACAAGCGCGAGGATGCAAGTCTTGTGGCTGCCACTTCCTTCAAAAGAATGACAGATGTTAGTTTTGTTTTCAAACGTCTTCCCGTTACCTGTATACTGCAGGCCGCACATTGGCAACAGACACTGCTTAATTCACTTCTTTATAATTTTGAACAGCCACTTGCTTCAAAGGCTTAAATCTGTCCAATCTTTTGAATATTAAGATCCCACGGTGTTGATTATTCTTTGTCCACTTCATTGAAAAGAATGCCAAATGTTAGGTTTGTTTTCAAACGTCTTTTCGTTGCCTGTATACTGCAGGCCGTACATTGGTAACACACTGTCTCTCTTCTTTATACGCAAATGTTAGGTTTGTTTTCAAACGTCTTTTCGTTGCCTGTATACTGCAGGCCGTACATTGGTAACACACTGTCTCCCTTCTTTATACGGAGTAATTTTGAACTGCCACTTGCTTCAAAAGCTTAATCTGTCCATATTTTTGTAACACTGTCGATTATTCTTTGTACATGATGAATATTTTTTTTGACATTCATTTTGGTGAACAAAATTGTTCTATTTTTTAGTGTTGCTTGTATTTGTATATTATATATTTCAAGTTTTGGAAAGTGGAATATATTATATATTGTGATAAATTTGTAACAAATTTGATGGCTTAAAAAAGAAACAAAATTTGAAATAATATTACATATATTACGTGTTCATATATATATATGGTATAACCTATTGTTTGCTTGAATGTGTTTGTGAAGATGAAATACATCTTGAATATAAAACAGATGCGGCACATAGTAGGTAGTTAGAATAAGAGAACAACGTAACAAGGTTGAAGTTATAACAAAAAAAGTATATGTTTTCTTATGTAATTACTTCTTCCTTGCTTCTACCATTTAGCTGCCGCTCCCTTCTAAGCTTTTTTAGACATGGTTGTAATTCATGATTCCACATCTTTTATACGCATGTTATGTAATTCTTGAACGAAAAAAATAGAATAAAATGGAACCTTCATTTTGTGAGCCAACTTTTTTCTATGAGTTTGAAATTAATGTGCAAACCAAAATAGCTCGTAATGACCTGCTTGCCATATAATTTATCTCCCTATTTGTGGGTGACTTGTTTAGGAATGTAATATAGAAGAAACATCTGATGAAGAAGAGCCCCCATCAAAAAGTTCAAAAGATAAAAAATCAAATGGACCAGATGCAGGAAAAACAAGCCTTGTATTCAAGATAACAAGCAAGGTTGCATATAAAACAGTTCTTAAAGGTATATTATCTATCTTTCAGTTGCACTAATGCTTTACTTTTGTTTTATTTTTTGTCTCTTTATCCTGTCAAGGTCTGACCTGTTGGACACTATGATTTCCGTTGTTCTCGCAGCTCACAGCAGTGTTGTCTTAAAGGCTGAGAGTGTGGCAGATAAGGTTGAATGGTTAAATAAATTAAGAACAGTTGTCCAATCTAGAGGAGGCCAAGTGAAGGGTGAACCTAGTGGTTCAATGCGGCAGAGTCTTTCTGATGGTTCTCTTGTGAGTTATTCTCTATGCTTCTTGTTTGTACTTTGAAAGTCCTGTCCCTGTCCTTCCAGAGGTGCTGTCTGATTCATGTTTGATTATGATTGATTGATTGTAATCGGTCACGTCTCTTTCCTGACGTCTCTAATAATTGTTGATTTTTTATTATTATCTATAGTGTCAAGAATTTGGATATTTAGTTTGTGGTTATTTTTAGTTGTAGAATGTCTTTTCTGATATTCTTAAATTCCTTCAAATACCTGTTTATCCAGTGTATGAACTTTTGGCTTGCTTGAAATAATTTAGGATACGATGGCCAGAAGACCTGCAGATCCAGAGGAAGAACTTCGATGGATGGCTCAGGAAGTACGCGGTTATGTTGAAGCTGTTCTGAACAGCCTTGCTGCTAATGTCCCAAAAGTCAGTTTTATCTTATCAAAAGCCATGGAAATTTCGTGTACTTATTTTGGCTTTTTATCTTCCCTTATGTTAGTTCTTGTTGTGCAGGCAGTTGTTCTTTGCCAAGTCGAGAAAGCCAAGGAAGACATGCTGAATAAGTTGTACAGTTCTGTCAGGTTAGCTGCATCTTTTATTCCCCTGGGTTGTGTGGATCATGTAATTTGTTCTGTTCCTGATGTTTGCTTGTATTGGTGGAATTCAATAATACATAGTCTGCAGAGGAATCAGTTACTATATACCTTAAAAGATATGGTAAACCTTAAAGAAAAGCTTGTCATAAGCGGTAACGAATAGGTTCTTGTGGACTGTATTTTTGCAACACATTTTAGGTGAAATGTACATAATAGACCGATTTTCTTAAATTGATCTATGTGAATCTGAAAAAACAGGTGTGCTACGTCAGTTACACCAGTCAACATCTATTAACCCTATTTCGCATTTGATGCAAGAAAAATGTTATTCTAAACATGCATGCGCATCAAAACACAATCTGCTGTTTTTCTTTTAACTTTCTTTCTTGATGCCGTGGCTTAATTTTTCTCACATTGTTGGCAGTGCCCAAAGTACAGCAAGGATTGAAGAGCTGCTCCAGGAGGATCAGAATGTAAAGCGGAAGAGGGATCGTTGTCAGAAACAATCAGAGATTCTTTCAAAACTTACTAGGCAACTCAGTATTCATGATAATCGAGCAGCTGCTGCCTCCAGCATGTCAAATGGTGGTGGAGCAGGTGATGTCACCTATAGAATTGCATTGCTACTTATTGCTTTACTCTTTGTCGTCTGTTTTCCTTTTCCACTGCATAGCGCGAGGGTAGATAGGCTTTTGGTGTGGGCTGGATTTGGTATCCTAAGTGTTACAAGGCACGCACAATAGGAAACTTGTTCTTTGGGAACATATTCATCCCAGCATTCATACTTCATGAAACTAACATACATTATTAATTTGCGGTATCGATGATGTAAACATGAGAATTTTTGGGGCAATCTTTTTGGTTTTGATTCGGTACAGAACAGTTTGATTGATTGCAGGCTTATTATTGTTGTATTCGTTCAATGTAGTTTTATATTAAATTATACATGTTCATTTGTGCAGAGAGTAGTCCAAGGACCAATGGACCCTCATCGGGTGAAGACTGGAGATCAGCATTTGATTCTGCTGCCAATGGGCCTAACGAATATTACGGTGACTCACTCAGATCTGGGTCCGGTGGTCACAGCCGACGGTACAGTGACCCTGCCCAAAATGGTGATGCAAGCTCGGGATCCAGTGGCCGACGCACCACCCCGAACCGACTGCCACCAGCACCACCTCCGACTTCGTCTGGTTACAAGTATTAGATTAGATAATTTTCAGGATAAATTGATTCACGCTTCATTCTTGGGTGGGCGCTTGCCCGTGCCCGTGCACTCCGGATATTTTGAGCTCTTCTCCAGCTCGAATCATGTTATAGAGTATGTAGAATTGGCGTACTGTCTTTGTAGATAAATATTTCAGGTAAACGTTGTTTTGCCCCAATATTTTTACTATTGCTGGACTTTGAGATGGTTCTTGCAATGTGTTTATTAAATTTTTTTCCCCTTCCTAGGGGGTGCTATCTTTTTCCCATATTTTGTTGTATGCCACAGATGTATTTCTATTAAATTTTGAGATTTGTCCTTTTTTTTTTTTTTTTTTAATTCTTTCCCATTCTAGACTGACTCATGAAATTTTATATAAAAAACCTTGAGCTTGGGTTTTTGTAAATCCTTCTGTAACATGATTGGCTGCTTAAAAATAAATTGTATCTGAATATTTCTAATAAAAATGAACTTGCTTGCGCAAGTGTAACAAGATAGTATAAAGGAAAATGAAATTTGTGACGTTTCAAAAGTTACTTTCTTTGAAGAAAGTGCATCTTGGCCATTGCGGTGCACCTTTTTTTGGTTGTATTTTGCACAACAAAGCTTGTAGAATCGGTATTTCTGTTTAATAGCTCATATTTTATCTCATAAATAAAATTGTAAGTGAAGCATGATTACTAATTAGTGAAAAGAGGCTAAGAATGTATTAGTGGCCCGAAAATTAAAAATCGGGATTCCTTCGTGGTACGAAAAAAATGCAACATCCGTCACACATTCACCAAGGTATAGCATGGACTAAAATGTGAGGTGCCACTTGGGTATCATTTATCCTCTGAGCCAGTTGCCCCAGCAAACAAGCATTACCTCGAACTGGAAAGGGCCTTAATGTCAAAGCAAAGTCAACACCAAGATAGTTGGTCAATAGGAACCGCTCTCTCTACTGAAACTTTTGAAAGGAACGTCCATCATCTAAACCTTCCAGAGGGCAGACACTGACTATCAAACTTCTCCTGCCTCTGGCTCCAAATGAGAGCTGGGATGTTTTTGATTTCTCCCTTCTTGGAGTCTCAAGGTAAATCATGACACGAAGCTCTTGCCCGAGACGAAGCAGATTAGAGCACAGCCCAAGGGTAGGCTTGGAGACGTAATTCCAGAGCCAAGTCCATACATGAGAGAGTGTTCTGGATGCTGTCAAAGTTCAATAGGGAACACGGATAACTACTTAAAGATGGGATCATCTCTAGCTTAACATGCTGTTAAACTTCTCCTATATTATCTCTTGAAAACTTTCTACTTTGTGTTGGCATACCCAAAAAAAAAAAATTAACCCAAAATTTGATCTATCGCTTTAATTTTCACCAACTTGATATTCTAATAGTATCAGTGTAATTATGTAACCAAGAATTTCAACACGCATGATGTTGTGTTCAATTATGTACAGCTTAATAAATCTTGAACGTGATCATGTGACATGATGAATGTAAAGAGCATATTTACAGTTTTACCATAGAACACTGCAAAACAAGTAGATGTTACTCACCCCAAATCAGTTCACGCAACCTTTTGTGTTCCTTTTGTTCCCCGCAGTGAATTGCACAGCACCATCCCTTTTATTTGAAAGCTGTCTGTAAACCGATTTTAGAAACTCTATGTTCTTCATGAACAGAGTGTTTCCTTACCATGAATAATACCAATTCCTTATTAACTAGTGGAGCCTCAATACTTTCACTATTGTATACCATCCTTGAAGGGACCAGAATCATGTATTAGTTTCATAACAGCTTTGACCTGTAAAGAGAAAGCATTTGAATGAGATTGAATCAAATAAACATTTACAGAGAAAATAGTGTGCAGATTCAGTGTTGATATTAGTCTCTCGGGGGGTGGAAAGTGAAAGAAAAGAAACAGAGAAGTAAATATTTGGACTAGATGTTTTTAACACACTTTGTAGACACTCCATTTCTGGCACTGGTTACAAAACTCACCATAAAACACTCGATAATAAGAAACAAGAGTGATAGAAGACAAATCTGTATAAGAATCTTCTATCAACATGCCTCTGCCACTAACGAATTAAAAAATGACCAAGAGTAATGATTTTGTACAATTACGGCAGTGGATTCAAAATGAACACAAACATAACTTCTTTTGTCAGGGATGATGTAGGACCAAAATTTTTGCTTTAATATCAACTTGATGCAGCAAATAGAGATTATGAAACAAAGTCTATGATGTTTGATTTGGTGTCTTGTGGAAAAGCGCCTAGTTTGATCAATTGGTCTACCAGTAACTGTTTTTCTCAAGAATGATTATAATTTTTCCCTCGCCACTCTATAGATCATATTCATTCGCCTCCATATTTTTGTTCATTTCCATTTCTTGATTCTTTTGTTCAACTAGTTCATGAATTTTATACCGATATACGATGACAAATCGTTTTAAGTAATATAAGTTATGAAATAGCTGCAAATGTCCATAATTGGAATTGTGAAATAATTGAACAATATTATGTTATAATTTGTGTCCCACCACAACCTTATCCTAAGAATTCCTTCCAAATATTAAATGCCGAAGTATTGAAGTTTTCCACATCATTCATAAATCAGGACCTAATACTTAGTTCTTTGACTTGCCATTGCATATGACATCATAAGTAGCTTCAGTTGGAAGGATTTCAATAAGAACTATAGGCTCATATCCAATGGCAAGTCAAGAATGGATTTCTAAATGATATGAAATCGGCATTATTCTAGAGAGTCTAGTCTATATTGAGCTTCTATTAGACTCGTATGATCTCTATATACCCTCTAGAATGGAATTCTATTGAAGTTCAGTAAACTAAATTTAGTCACCTGAGCCGCTTCTCGCACCAAGAAGTTTTCTATTACTTTCCTGAAACCTTCGTCGACTATATAGTGACAGCTGTATGTTGTCACCGGCAGATAACCCCGCTGAATTTTATGCTCACCCTGAGCTCCTGCCTCTACCTTATCAAGATTAAGTTCAATAGCTGCGTCTATTGCCTGCAATAGTATAACAAAAGTTAGTTAATTGAACATGTATCCTTTTTCAAGCAGCTGATGTTCTTACATCTTTCTGTAAGATTCCTAATGAAATTTTAGTATATCAGTAGAAGATTCAATGCAATCTTCCAAAATTCTAGAAGATTCTTAAGACTAATTTTTTTTACTCAAGATTAATGTTTATCCTCTTGTCAAAAGGGAGTAACCTAATTCCTACTGAAAGGATTATCAAAAGGTCATCTTCGTGTATGCTGTTCAGACACTCCAACTGATGTTAGGAGATGCATAAGATCTCAACAAGAATACAACATAATTGCATGACCATGATTAAGGATGTGAAAAGTTAGCAAAAATAAGCCTATAGTTACTTTCTATATGCAATTACGGGGACTACCAGTATGACAGCACCTTTCCAAGACTGATGTTTGCGATTTGAATGCATGCAAAGATCCATTCACACAAAATTTATCTGTCTGTTTGATCCCCAAACACAAAATGAACCAGCAAACATCTCAACTTTGGAGTAAAGCTATTGAGCCATGTGTCCATCACTACGGATTAAATTCAAATCATCACATCCAAACCTGGTAATAACAGGCTTCAAAATGCAAACTTGGATAATATGCTCGCGGATGACATCCCCATAAGCGCCCAAACAAAGTATCTCCTCCAATAAGATTAAGAGCTCCAGCAACAAGCTCATCTCCTTCTTCAGCAACAACAAGCAGTACATTATCCCCCATTTTTGAACCCATGTTGTGAAAGAAATCCCTTGTTAAATAAGCACTACCCCACCTAGAGAGAGATTAACAGCGAAACTCAGATGTGACAATTCCAAGCATCTCCTAAAGATCTAGCATAGTTCGGAAAAACTGTAAATACTAGGAAGCTAATAAAAAAATAAAAATAAAATTCTCTTGCAAGAAAAAAATAAGTGTTTAATGAAGTGGACACGGACTTGTTATCAGTAGTGTTCTTGTAGAAGTTATAAAAGGTATCCCAGTGCTTAGCCTGCCAACACATAATAATAAAATAAAAAAACATGAGTAAGAGGTTCAATCATTTTCTTGTCTACAATAAAATGTGATGGATGAGGAGATAAATAAACTCTATGTTGTTAATAACAATTTATCAATTGGAATTGCTTTGAAAAATCAGAATATTAATAATGAGTTTACAATACCAACATGAACACTTGATTCTGGAGGACTTATTGGGTCTAATATATAGCTGTGGACACTAGAATTTCATTCTATTTAATTAATTACAAAAACATTGCATTTGGTGAACTTACCAAGTATGGATTAAACAAGAACATGGAAAAAAGAAAGAGAATAATAAAACCTTCTACGACACAGACAGGGAAAAACTACACAAAATGCAAACTTATAGCTAACCTTGACGATTAAAAAGTTCCACCCGAGACTTTGCTGAGCTAGCCCATTATTTCACTACAAACATTATTTTTCCAGATTTCCTTTACTCGAAACCGATTCATCCCTCTAGGATAACCTGGGAGAAACAAAAAAGAAAAAGAAGAAAGAAAATTACTGTGTCTTGATCTAGATTATAGAGAGAGAGAGAGCTCTCTCAAATGTCATGCTTATCTTCTGCCCCCTCTTGCCACCCTTCCCTTCTCTTGCATTTTGGCAGCTCATTTGGGTATGTCAGTGTCAGTCTTCTGGATTTGAATGTTCAAGCTTCTACATTGTCTGGTTTTTGAATAAATCTACTTGGGCCAACTGGATCTGCTAATTCCATTCCAGTAGTGTCGCAACCATCAGCTTGGTTTAAATGTTTGGGTTTGGCCGTCGGCTAGTTTCTGGCAGCACGTGCAGATTGTCTTCTGTCTGCACTAAATGGCTACCACAGCTTGGGAGACAGTATAAGTCACAGCCATGACACTGGAGTGTGTACTTCTTGCTGTTCTGAAGGATGGTATTAGACATTGTTAACTGTCCCTGCCATTGTGTGGGCCTGGCTATGGATATCAAAGTGTTTTTACAACTGATTTGTGGAATGCCCTAAGTTTAGTGATTTCACAGATGTAGTTTTCTGGAGTTGGGCAGGCATGTGAACAGCACACGTGATAAATGTGTGTGAACAGACAAAGTCGACAGTCCTTGACAATTATTGCTGCAGATCTGGTCAGTGTAGTAACCACTGGCCTGCCTCGCATCTTGATTCAATGCAATGACAATTCAAATTATAAATTGAGTCAGATGGAATTAAAAACTCCCAAAGTGGAAACGAGTTGCCTTCATGTAATTTTCTCAACACATGTCCAGCATGGCGGGAACTGTCCCACCTCTTTTTCCCTCACACAGTTGGACACGTTGACATGTCCCAATCAGGTATGAGGTTTTGTACCACACTGGATCAGGTGGATTGTTCACCTCTTGACCCTTTATGCTCAAGCCAATGTTTAATAGGGTTTTCTTACTTCATCCTTCACTCACCTGCCACACATAATTACTTCTGTTCTGACAAACACAGCAAACCCAAGAAACACGACAGAAAATAAACACGCCAAACAATAACACAAAGATTTAGCGTGCTTCAGGAAAGCCTACGTCCACGGTGAACAAATTTCAGCCCCCAAACTCTAGCTCTCGCTCTCACTCTCTTTTCTGCGATTTTCAGTGTCTCTCAATAATTCCACTCCAAACCCTAAGTGAGAACTTCTTGGTTCAAGTCTAGAACTAAGGTAACTCGGCGGTTCTATGGGGTTTAGAATCTGTAACCTTCGTATGGTAGATTGTCCCGAGACTCCTGCCTAATTTAGACTTTAGGGGTCCAGTGGTTTTTACTCTATAACATAAAATTGCATGTTCTTGTGTGGTTGGTTTTATTTATTTTCTGCTGTTACGTTTATATTATATATTGAGCGCCTTTTGAATATATTTTAATTATCAAAAGAAAATTTTAAAACACTTAATAGCAATTAAAAGTTTTCAAGACTTACTCACCCCCCTCCCCCAGTTTGTTCTAATTGGGACTTAGCATACCCTAACATATTAGAGCCGGGGTGACTGTGCTTCCTTCATTCTAAACTACAGCTCTGAGAAGACTCCGGAGATTGGGAGGAAATCTAGAAGCATGAATAAGTCTCTCTCTCTCTCACTCTCTCGCAAAAGATGCATGAATTCAAGATATTATTGGTGCATCAATGTATGTATTATCTACGTTTGATGCAACTAAAACTTTATTCATTAAGTATTGACTTTATTGCTTAATTTACAGTAATTACAACTAAGATGAGCAACATCTGTACAAATCCTAGTAGATTTATTTGTGCTTAGATTAGATCTGTATATGTAATATTAAATATATTTTTTTGATAATCCTGTAAATTTATTTGACGAAAATATAGCCTTATACTTCACACATGGACTTTATTTACTTCAGTATATAATTGTTTCCAAAATAATTGATCTGTATAAATCTTAGCCATCAATCATTGGCAACGGGTCCGAATAGATGTTGAGGTCTTTAGTTTCAGGCACCAAGTTAAGCCTTGCACTCAAAACTCTTTAAAGCAACAATACTCCCAACATTCTTCAAACTAAAAGAGTTGCCCTGCATGTTTCTGTCCGTTCTCTAATACTCCCTTTTAAAGAGCAACAATACTCCCAACATTCTTCAAACTAAAAGAGTTGCCCTGCATGTTTCTGTCCGTTCTCTAATACTCCCTTGGCTGTTTGGCAGACTTGGAAACATATGGAGGCCTGAGAACAATAGCTACAACGTGTTTAGCTTGTATAGCCAACTTATCCGAACCAAAAAAAAAATCCCAAAGATTTTCCCCAACTATTTGTGGCTGAGTAGACAACTGTGTTTCCCCATTATGTTTTATTTAACATCATAACCTCAGACGAGCATTCAATCGGCTAGACTTGAGCCCTAATGTTTTACATGAGACAATTCTTAGGATACCACATGAGCTCTTGTCAGACTCACATTGTTGACTAGCAGAGCTAACTAGTGGCCAATAACAAGTCACATTAAAGCCTACAAAAACAAAAAAAAAAAAAACAAAAACAGAGAGAGAGAGAGAGAGGCAATATGGTATCAGAGAGTAGAAGTCATGCAATCACTTTCATATAGTCAAATGACAAGTTCCTTCACAACATGAATTCCCTCGCAGAATTGTATTCTAAAGTATTGCAACCATGTTGCACATTCAAGAGGCAAATAACGTGTGTGTAACAATAAAACAAACTGAAAAAAAGAACATATGAACACATAATTAACCCACAAAAGACACCAGAAATCATTAATTGCAAATATTAATTCTAAGTACCTTAATTTCATATCCCCGTAGGCGTTTCATAGTCAAATTTTGAGCAGAAATCTGCACAATGAGAGTTCATTTGATTAAATACAAAATTATGTTAATATAAAAACAAAACAATTGATTTTATCCCCCCTCGAATCTACTGGAAATTAAGCAAATAATATGCCACTTATAATGAATTAGGCATGCTCCATTATCAAACACATTATGAAAGTCAACAATCACCAATGGATCTAAAATCTATTTGATAAGATCAATCAGAAGAGAGTGACTAGAGACATATATCCGTTACATGTACACCATAAAATTTATTTGGCAAAGCATTTATTAACTCAGATGCTTCAAAAATAAAATCCCAGAACTATTATTTTGAAAATTTGACACTGTAAAATTCATTAAGAATTTAGTAGATGGATAATTTTATGTTAAGTTTGCTGAAGTATTTATTTGCTAATTTATTTATGGGTAAATTACACGGACCTCCCTTATGGTTTGCCATAATTACAGGAACCTCCTCTGTGGTTTGGGAAATTACTCAGACCTCCTCTAAATATGAAACTAATCTACACGGACCTCTCTTCTGTGTGACGGACCATCAAATGCACTAGCGGACCTGTCTAATTTACCGAAATGCCCTCACGTTGTAAGCAACGATTATTTATAAAATGGTAGGGATAAGGGTATTATGGGCATTTTAATTAATTAAGTACATGACATCAGCAAAATATGTCATTGATTGGAGTTGACTTTCACATAAGGGAGGTCCGTGTAGGTTAGTTTCATTTTTAGCGGAGGTCAGAGTGATTTCCCAAACCATATGTGAATCCCCGTAATTATGGCAAACCATAGGGGAGGTCCATGTAATTTACCCTTTATTTATTTATTTAAGTACTTTGAATTTATCCTAAAAGAGCCAACACGAATGTAAGAAATCTACGAAGTATCAGTGAATTTACACAGAATTGTGTAAAGAAATGAACAAATTTAAAAACATTTGAAGAACCTCTTTTTTCTTTTGTTTTTTAAGATTTTATTTTACTTCACAAATGATTGACAAAATATATTCTACACAGAGCCTTTTGCATTATAAAAAACAATGAAATAAAGCATCTTCTGAGTACTTATCTTTCACAATTAAGATTGAAACAATGGACTGAATGTACCACATCCACTAAACAGTGTTCCAAGTCCAAGTTACCTTTCAAAGAAGGTTGTGCAATTCCTCTCAAATCTTCCAAGCGTTTGACAAGAGACCCATTTATAATTACGCATGACTGTTACCACAATTTAATGGGCAGCTTGGGAATCTCAAGAAATAGCTCAAGTTGAATCCCACAACTCCCACCTCACTCCATTAAGTAGTTCATAGGAAAAGCAAGAATGACTTGGTGTGGGAAAAAGCTTGTTTTCTGTCTTATTTTGTGTACAAACTTGAACCAATTCAGAAAATAAAGTGACTATCGGGGAGGGGAAAAAGAAAGTTCAGTGTTATCCTCATCTGATCTGGTTCTTGGGTTTCCTAGCCCATGAACCTAGTAGATAAGTTCTGTGGCAGTGATAATCGTTACAATAATAAGGAAAAAGCGGGGAAAGAAAGAAATCTACATATAGCCACAACAGAAGAATTGCCATCCCATCTGCTGTGTTTTTAAAGAGAATCCATGCAAGACAATGAAAATTTTCATTTCACTTTCCAACCAAAAAACCGAAATGAAACAAACTGAAACACTAACCTTCTTACGTTCTTGACGAATATTTTTCCTTTTACTTTGTTTCATGTCCATCAAGAATTCATCAAAACTGTGGCATGGAAAGAAACAATTCAAAATACAAACAAACAAAAGAAAGCAGTTCAATGCTCTGCAGCTAGAGAATTATGGTCTGCCCTTCTTGCTCTTTTTGAGGCCAACTGGTCATGCTGAGGACAGCGGTTGGATTTTTTATTTTTGGTCGGAGGAAGGTTCAAAAGAGAGCAAAATCTATGTGCTTCCCCATCGATAGTGGGCGAAGTGGAAAGAACAAAATAGAAGAACATTTGAAGGTCAAAACATTCAAGCATATAGGTTGAAATTAGAGATGCTAAGATTAATAAATGTTCTGTAACTCCTTTTACTTATTTTTTAGGTAATATGAGTTCTAGGTAGGTTTCCAGCCCTTCAGGGATGTCTTTGTATACTTTGCATGTATGAAAACAAGCTTTTGGAATGTAAAATATAGTAAAGAACAACTCCTTAAGGTACCCCCCAGATATTGAGCAACAGCATAAGAATTGAATTAATGAGATAAGGAACGTCAGGGGTGTGACACAGCAGCAGAACTATAGAGATTGAACAAAGATCATCAAGGTGCCCAGGTGGAATACTAATTTTTTCAGTAAAGCTGAGTATATATATTTTTTTGATAAGTAAGATTTTATTAAAAACACTCAAAAGGGGAGCGGAACCCAAAGAAACAAAAGGGCCAAAGGGCGCCTTAGACCTTCAATGAGGCCAAAAAAACCTCCTCCGTAGATCTATAGTCTCTCCCTGAAACCCAACAAAAAAGAGTAGAAATAATAGAGAACTTAAGCATAGAAACAGGCTTCTTTTTTCCATCAAAATATCTCCTATTTCTCTCGAACCAAATACACCACCAAATACAAAGAGGCATAGCCCTCCAAGCATCCTAAATGATAGCCCCAACAGAGACGCCTCTCCAAGCCTCAATCAACCCTCTAGAGGAACAAGGGGGTCGAGGGAGGAAATGGAAGTGATCAATTAACAGTTGGGATCAAACAAGAACAACGCACCACTACAGTTCTCTTGTCCTGACTTTCTCTTGAAGCTAACACTACTAACAAGAATTTGCTCTACAGTAGCATACTTGCATATATGCAAAACATGGCAAGTGGTCCGCACACCTTTGAAGAACATGCCAAATAATTAAAAATACCATGCTGGTGCTAAGCCTGGAACTGTGACGAACAAGATAACTACATATTACTCACTTTTTGTAGTTGCGGTTTTTCCAGTGGTACTGCATTCCAATCCTTTGCAGAAAACCTTTCTCCTTTGTTCTGTGACACTCACTTTCAGACGCAAAGGTAATGTGCAGAGATGAAACCTGAAACTGTGAGATTATGAAGTGACATTTATTGGTCAGGAACTCATGATACCGTAATCTGAACAAGCCATCGGTTCTTAGATCTCGATGCAAATGAAATAATAGCAATTTTCAATATAAAATTTATAAACTCCTTGAAAGAATAAGATATAAAATTGCCTTTATCAACAATTGCAGATATACATTTGCTCAATGCAGGTGAAACTGCTAATAATTGGTACGCGGAAAATGTAATTGTTTAAAGGGCTAGCCCAGTGCGCGAGCCTCCTGCCACTACAGGGTCTGGGGAGGGTCAAATGTGCACAGCTTTACCTCCACATGGGAGGATCATAAAAAGTAATCGTTTACATTTATTTCTTTTTTTAATTAATTAATTTATTTAGAGAGGGGGGGGGGGGGGGGGGGGATGTGAAAATTTATAAGAAGCATAAAGAACCAAGAGGGACATTATTTACTGATCATAGATCATGGCTTACTGGCATGCAATCCATGACATGAGTTATGGTGAGGAACATTATTTACTGATAATAGATCAGGTCTAACCATGAAAACCTATCTGATTTTCAGTTCTACATTAGGAGATGATATATAAGTAGAAGTTAATACATACAAAAGAATTACAGGACACTTAACTCCTTTTCTGATAGCCAAAGCAACCCTTTCCCAAATCCCAACTAGTCATTGGATTCCAAAATTCCAGGTAATTAAAATAAAAACATCAGGGTTTTCAAATTTCTGAATGAAATATGATAACCAACACATTAAATTGTCATTATGTAAGTTAAAGCTTGTCACATGCACTTTTAGGATGCAAAGTAATTTTGAAAAGATAAAGATGAGTGTCTATATTGCAAAAAATACTTGATGCAAGCACAAAGGGCAACGCACATTAAGCATGCCCTCGCAATTTCATACCTCAACTGAAGGGAGAAAAAAAACATGTAATTGTAATGAAAGAGGTTGAGAATAATATACGGACAATTGGAATATTTGCATGTGCTTGGCATCTTCGCACAAGGAAGTGAATGAAAGGAAAAACAATTTGGTCCATCCTATACCTTGGCGGTCAAATCCTTCATTGCAGAGACTAAAATGTCAAAGACCTGATCTTTGTATGAGGTGTCACGGAGTAAGATCCTCTGACCAGTTACTGGAGTGAAAGGCACACAACATTGTAACTTGGGATAATACCTTGAACCATAACTGTAGTAGGCATCAGCCCAAGAATGGTCAAATACATATTCACCATAAGAGTGGCTGCACATCAAAGGTTAAAGAGTAGCCATCACCAAACATAAAAAGCAGTTAGCAAAAAACCTGAAGACTTACAGAACAAACTAAACAAGACTAATGTTGGTGAACAACAAAGAAGAAGCTAAATGAAGCTAAACCTTTTGAGATAGAGTGGGACAACACCTAAAATATTTTTACATTCGTCCTGAGCAATGATATGCTGTGGAATCCATCCTGTTTCCTGAAATAATATCAAACACATTGTCAATATAAAACAATTGAGTTTTTAGGATATTTATTTCAATCATATGATGAAACATAAGAGTGACCAATGTGGCACTTAATAGACAGGTTTCCAGAAAACAGAAGTGATCTTTTGGAGAACTATCCAGATGTAAACTAATTACGACATTATTTCCCCAGAGAGAATGAGAAGCTTTAGGTTCCCACAAACCTTGATGGTGGGCATATTAAAATCCACCACCATGAAAAACTAATAAAAAAGAATCAGTGAACTATGGAGCCTATAAAGGGATAAAAAAAAATTGAAGGTAATTAATGGCTAGGAAAAGATCTCCTTCTTCATTGGCCGGTGGCTAGAGATTGTTGGGATTTGCTCCTTGGATGTTTCAGGGTCCAGTCGGCAGCTGGGCTATGCCTCTCTCTGCGAGGAATGCTTTTGAGGCTTGGAGAGGTTGTCCAGTGGGAGTTCAGGCTTGAGATGTTTGGAGAGTAGTGCCCTTGTGCTTATGGTGGTCTTTGTGGAAGGAAAGGAATAGGAGATCCTTTGAAGGAGAGGAAACTCCTATTAGTGTGCTCAAGTTCTCTATCCTTCACACTTAATTTTTTTAGGCTACAGGGGAGAAATTGTAAATCTACAGGGGAGATAGTGGATAGGGGCCCTATTTGGTCCTTGTGTAGTTCCTGGGATGCGCTCCCCTTTTGAGCGCTGTCTATAATACTTTAATTAACAGGGGTAGAAAAAAAAAAAAAAAAGAGAAAGGTTCATAACATCAGTCAACCCACATGGTATTGTATCCTTCCTTACTAACTCTACCCATGTTAACAAGATTCAGTTCCAACATATACTAGCAAAAAGGCCACATAAAATCACACCACGTGAATGTGAAAAATCCTTGAAGTTTACCAGAAAAACTATAATCTAATGTAATGAGCATACCAGTGACCAATAACTCAGAAACGTAAAGACAACATAGAATTAATTAAGCTATTCATGGCAACACTTTGTGAACAAGTCACTTTGCAATTTGGCTAGAAGCCAAAAAAAGAAAACCTCTATTTATTAATTCCCTAAGGAAAGTCCCACATGTGCCAGGGACTAGAGAAAGCTCAAGGTAGTGGTTGTGTTGAATCTCCAATTCCTATGCCAACCAAAGAAGACCACAACATAAATAATCTTTCGGCACCAAAGTCCAATAAAGCCAATGGTCTTGATTCCTGATAATTTAAGTTCTGAATGTGGAATGACATCTACTACATCAATGCTGATTGTATGTGACAGCAGGTGGCTTTTCCCTTTTACTAGCTTTCCTTTTCATAGAAAGCTGATTTTTGTATCTTTAAAGTTCTGATTCCAATCATGTTTCTCATGCACTGTTAGTTTTAACTTGACATAAGATAGTGCATAATCCAGTGTATGTCCCACGCAATGCGGAGTGCAGGGAGGGAAATATTAGAGACAAGCGTAATCTTTATCATTAATTTTAATGTTGTCTTAATTCCTTAATACCCTAAAAAGGGAAAACAAGCGGAAACAAGAAAGAAAGAGAGGGGGGGGGGGGGGGGGGGGGGGGGGGGTGGTGGCACAAATAGATGTGTGTGTTATCAACTCAATGTTAGATGGTTGGCTCCAATCAAAGGCTAATCGTAAACTTTCTTTTTATGTGGATTCCCATTTCTACACGCTAGAACATTTCAGCAGGCCTAACATCAGATAATGCTTTAGTAAAACTGAAGACAACAATTTTCATTGCCAGATTTTTAGGGATTCGAGTCAAGTTTTCATACAAGGCTTTCTTGGGTTGAGTTGCAAAGTCACTTTTTAGGATCTGCATTCAATGAAGAATGCATCTATCAAGGAGTCACTTGGACACCACTAGTAAAAAAAATCATTTTATTCATCTTCCAATCTTTACAAGCAGAAACCTCTTCATCACAATGGAGGATAGATATACAGCTATGAAATCATCACCAAAAACAGAAAATAACGTGCAGAAAAACTACAGTTCTGACAATTAGAAAATAGTTCTCTACATGCGAAAATACACCCGTTACAGACTTGAAAACAAATAAACACATATAAGAGCTATGCAAAGCAAATGGGAATTATTTATTCATGTGATGTCAAAATGGTCAATTAACATCTTTTCTTTTTCTTTGTTAAATCATCATCATCGTTGTCCTCCTTGCCTTAATTCCATATGAAAGAGATCGGTCACATGGATTCTCTCCCTCCAAGCTTTTCTATTACATGCTAATTCACCTACCATATTTTAACTTTTAAAATCATTTTTAATAACCTCATCCCATATTATTTTTGGCCACCCTCTCCGACTCTTTCCTTCCATTACAAGTAGTCTTCCTCAATTGACCGGAGCGTCACTAGGTCTCGTTTGATACCTTTTCTTTTTCTTTGGTAAATAAAATACTTTAAGATCAATAGTAGAAATCCAAGATTGCAATAGTACTGAAATGATAATAGCTAACCTTCACTGAGGAACCTGACTCCTCTAAGCTCGAAAGAAAACCATGGGTAAGGAATGGATTAAATTTTTTGGGACCCGTAGCAGCAAGGTTGCACGCATCCCAGTCATTTGGCAAAACCTGTGAGATCGAAGAAACTACTGAGACTGATATCTTTTTTGGTTTTTCGAAATTTGCTGAAGCTCCCTGAATACAAAAAAAAAAATGCAATGGCATTAGCTATCCAAAAAACATTAGGTACAATAAACAGGGGCATCGAAAATAATCATCACTTCTAAAGGACCAACGAGAAAAAACACCTCTAAGCCTGACCCTGTCAAGGTGAAATCCCCAAGTGAAAAATCCACTTTAGGTGGCTCGGTGGCCTTCCGAGGTCCCCAAAAGAGTGCGGTAATTTTGTTTTTGTTGACAGAATTCTGGATACTCTGTCCACGTGATGATTTTCCCTGCAAGCCAAGGATCATACAAAAATAAAAATAATAATAATAATAATAACAATAATAATAATAATAAAAGGAAAAAAGAAAAAAACACATACACCGTAGCAATTAATAAATAGACTGGTAAAACCTGTTTCATTTTCTCATATAACAGTTCCCAACAGAAACTCGTGACTGGCACAAAACAGAAAACATTTCTTTTGTCAAAACAGTTACAAGAATGAGATCAAAGAATTTCAACTTAATGAAGGAAAAAAAAACTGTGGCAGTGTTCTTGTGATACTAATGTTGCTAGAAAAGGTTCTTTCTCTCTTCCCTGTCTCAATTGTAATACTGAGGTTACAAAGCAAATTCACAATAAGGCAACAGTAAGTATCTGTTCACAAGGTCAATCTGCAATAAGTTGAAACATGCTTTCAAAAAAGAAGACCAGTCGTGTGACTTAATTGGGTTTATTTGCCTTAATATCCCTCCATATCCACCAAACCCTATTAGAAAGAGGTGTCTACTAAAATATGCCAGTATGAAAATCAAATACAAGTTTGAAGTGTGTTGACTTTGACAAGCACTGTGTCTCTTCGAACCGGTCTAGATGTCCCGCAAGCCTTCCAACTCCTTTGTGTACTATTACAATAGAACAGTCTTGAAATTTTTGAACATATGTTAAATTATGTCTTTAATGGAATATGGAACGCAGCATATTGTCACGAAGTGATTCCTAAGACGCTTGGAGGATAGAAGATACGCATGCTGGTTGGCTAAGAACATTCATTGACTGGGAATGGTTCCAGGGAAGGGGCGTGCAGGAGCACAGGATGGTACCTCTTCAGAGTTCAGGCAGGTCGACTCGGTTCAGTTCGAGGTGCTTGTCGCTGGTCTTGGACTTGACTATGAAGAAGGGAGTTGGCCATCCCTGCACAAACTGGTCGGGAGCTGGAGCCGTTCCCCTGACGAGGCCATGGCAGGCCGAAACCAGTCAGCATGTATCCTTGGGAGGGCAGGTCGTGGTGGCTGACCAGGGCGCTTGCGCGAGCCGAAGCAACGCCTTGGTGCCGCACGGGCCGTGCCGCTGCGCCAAATCTCTAGGCCCGTGACAAATGGTATCAGAGCAGGACTTGGGGTAAAGCACGGTAGGGTGCCCCCTTGTCGGTCCGGGAGGGGTCAGAGAATGAAGACGGTGCATTGAAGTTGCGTCGATGTGGAGGAATCAATGCAGTTGGGGGGGAGAGCCTCCATCTCCCTAGGAAGAGGCGTCCGTTGAAGTTGCGCATTGAAGGGCCGGAGGGCCGCGCGCACCAAAGTTCGTGCTTAGTCCTTGGGTGATGCAAACCATGGTGAAGGGCGAGCATCAAGTCGGCAGAAGGCCATTGCTTGCTCGGGATGTCGCGGAGGCGGCATGACGGAGAAGAGTCACGTCCTTGAGGAGTGGACGTCCCCTTGGTCCGAGGCCTATCATTGGGCGAGTGCAGTGCAGGGAGCTGCACAAGGAAGCGATGGTGGGAAGGCGAGCATACCGCATGGAGGCAGACTTTGGAAGGGAGTGGACGCAGTAGTGAAGCGCCGCACTGCGACGAGGACGTCGCAGGATTTGGGTGGGGGAGAATGTCACGAAGTGATTCCTAAGACGCTTGGAGGATAGAAGATACGCATGCTGGTTGGCTAAGAACATTCATTGACTGGGAATGGTTCCAGGGAAGGGGCGTGCAGGAGCACAGGATGGTACCTCTTCAGAGTTCAGGCAGGTCGACTCGGTTCAGTTCGAGGTGCTTGTCGCTGGTCTTGGACTTGACTATGAAGAAGGGAGTTGGCCATCCCTGCACAAACTGGTCGGGAGCTGGAGCCGTTCCCCTGACGAGGCCATGGCAGGCCGAAACCAGTCAGCATGTATCCTTGGGAGGGCAGGTCGTGGTGGCTGACCAGGGCGCTTGCGCGAGCCGAAGCAACGCCTTGGTGCCGCACGGGCCGTGCCGCTGCGCCAAATCTCTAGGCCCGTGACAATATGCAAACCTTCACTTAAATGTTCAATTGAGGCCTAAAGTTCATCATATCAGCATGTTAACCCAAAAATATTGTTCCCCTTTCAGCCCTATAATAGTGCAATATCTTCTATTAAAAGTTGAACATAATTATTCTATAATCATATCATCAACATGTGATTGCAAAAAGGTCCTGAGCTACAATCCTAGCACCTCCTTGATAATTATAATAGTGCAATATTGTTCTTTAGCAACATGGATATTGAAAAATACTGTGTGTTGTTTCCAATTGAGATTAGTGGCTTCATTTTTTATAGAATTTAAGCAAAATTCAACATATATGTGTATCTATACATATGTAGAGAGAGATTGCAAAATTATTCCCTTGCATGAGTGTGTGTATGTCGTATATGTAGAATTGTAAAGCAGACACACAAACACGCGCACGCACACACATATATATCTATTAGTTGATTCATACATGAAAAAATCAAACTCCCTGGCCTCTTGAATGAGTTCCAGAGAGAGAGAGTGTGTGTGTGTTTTAGAGAGAGAAAGAGATGCTTACGAGATGAAATGGGATGTGTCCAAGAAATGGCGAAGGGCTAGGGTTAGCGGGATAATATGTTGGGCGGTATCGGCAATGGCACAGAACTAGGACCGCCATTGCCGAGGAGCTGTTCGTTGTTTGGTCTGACAGAAGAGACTGATCAGAGTCTCAACACAAAACGTGCGTAGTCTATGATCAGGTTGAAGAAAACGAACGCACGGGATGTGCTTGTCTGGGAGTGAATTTTAGCCACGTGGCCATCTCAGCGCCAGGTTCAATTCTTTTAGTGTTGTAGATGTAGATCATGCGGTTCGGATGGGTGAGTAAAAGTGTGATCATTATGGTATGACATAAGATGGGTTCACAATCTCCTCATATTTTTTCCTTTTAATATCTTTAAATTCGAAAAATGTATCTTAATTTTTTATAAAAAAAAGAAAACTAACTAACTCAGATGTACACCTGATAAATACACACATTGTAGCCCAATTCGACTTGTACAAATTCAAGCACTATTCACCTGATTTTTAAAACAACAAAAAATAAAAAAAACCAACAAACAAACAAAAATGGAGCTTATTTCATTTTATTGAGATTAATTTATGTAGTATTTTTTCACACTTTAGAATAAAAAGTCTAGTTCAAGTTAGTGTAGGAGCAAAAGTTAGTGTGTGGACTCTTGCCAAGGTAAAAAAATAAATTGCCTTTCATGGGCTGGACTTTCTATTGTAAGAGTTTCAATTATTTTTGGGGCCCTTTTGTTTGGGCTGGCTTTCGGGCCTTTCTCACCTCCCTTGTACATTTTACCATTATTGTTTGAATTTTGCGAAAAATAAATAAAAAATCTGTTGTACTCTTTTTCTTTTTCATTTTTTCCCTTTTCTTCGGTTCACAAACAAATATCTTTTTTGAGATTTGAATTTTATGATTCAAAAAACTAAACATGAATTTAGTTTTATCATGTCAAGTCAAGTGTGCTTCCGAGAATCTAACACACAATTGTAATGGATATGAATGGTTCATCAAAACAGGAGACGACTGATGTTGGATTTGTTGTTACAGTTTATAAGCAGGGAGTAATAATGAACAAAGTTACAGTTTAGAAGCAGGTAGTAATAATGAACAAATCCCATTATTTCCGCTAAAATATATCTTGGATTTATAATGAGAATGCCTTAAAAAAAAAAATTAAGTAGATAAAAAATTGCAAGTACGTGAAAAAAATATGATTATTGTATAAAAAGTATAATTACAAATTTGACAAATGTAACAGAAAAGTAACACAATTTGACAAACAAGAGAGAAGGTTAATATATATTGACAAAATATCATAATAGATTATTTTAATTAACAACTGGTTTAACAAAGACTAAACTTACGTAAAGTAACGACCTGGGAACGCTCATGTCCCAGGTTCGAACTCGTCCAATCGTCATTATAACTCTCGACTGAAATTGTTATTGAGGTGTAGGGTTGTCGACAGCATCCCCATTTTGTAATCTGGGGTCCTGTCCAGATGAGTTCCGGTGCCAGGAAAAAAAAAAAAAAAAAACTAAACTTACCAAGCAAGAGGTATGCATTAAAATTTTCGTCTAGTATAATTATTAAGATTTTAAGATAATTATACCATAGATCCAAATTAAATAATGCAGGCACATAAAAGGAATAATGAAAAAGTAGAGAATTATCCAATTGCACGACACAATGGGAGAGAAAAAAAATAAAAATCACAAATAAATGACTAGATGGAATAGAAACTATTACCCTAATTTGCAATTATCTTATATATATACAAGGCAAATAAATAAAACCGACTACACAAGCATAATAAAGCTAGTTCATTAAAAACCATTCATCCAACTTTCTGACCATTTTATTAACACAAAAATATAATTTTCTTTTGCAATTTACAAAGTTGGAAGGCTCAATTTTCAACTCATTTCAAACAATAAATGATAGTTAGTGGGCCTAATTGTTGACTAATGAACTTTCACAACGAATGAATAGCAATTAAAGGTTTGGTTGGTGTGGTTGAGTCTCGCAAAAGAGCAATTAATTTGTTTGTTGTGAACTATCATTATATAGCCACTTTAGGTGGAATTTATAACCATTGACAACACAAAGAGTAATGATATTTAGAGAATTATTTATTTGATCCATGAATGTAATTAAAGGAATTTTATTTTCTCGATGTAGTGGATAAGTTTAATTATGAAATAAATCTATTGTTATAAGGAGATTTTGTCTCACATCAAATTCGGATAAAAAAATATAAAAATATAAATAGGTGGACATGCAATACTTCCCAATAATTTAAGTTTTTGGATAAATAGACAAACACTCACCCGTTATCACATCAAGCGTCTAATCCTAAGGCGTCTGGACTCACCCGTTATCACATCAAGCGCCTAATCTTGAGGCGTCTGGGTTGTTGCAACTGGGTAGATAGGGTGGCCCGACTGTAATGAAAATTTGTTCCACATCAAATTCAGATGAAAAAATGTATAAGTATAAAAGATAGGTACGCAACAATACCATCCAATATAACTTAAGCTTCTCTAGATCAGCTTCGGATGAAACATACATATATGTATATATATATGTGTGTGTGTTTGTGTGTTGTATATATTACACATATCTTCTGTTTTTGTCTTTGATTTACTGGGTTGGATGTGAAGATTAACAATATAAAAAATTATAAAAAAATCAGTATATTACACATATCTTCTGTTTTTGTCTTTGATTTACTGGGTTTGTTTTTGTCTTTGATTTACTGGGTTGGATGTGAAGATTAACAATATAAAAAATCAGAAAACGCAAATAGAAAGCATGGATCAAATACATATATAAAATAATAATAATAATAATCCAGTAACTTAGTTGGTAAAACACTAATTTTCTCGAACCTAAGCAAACACTAATACAACACGCAAAAATACAAGTACACATAAATCATAAATCACCGATGCATCAATTCATCGGACACCGGAGTCCGGCCCCGGCATTCAAAAAGTAAAAACCCTTCCATTAATCTGAAATTACATCCATGACCTATATACCTAAGCTTTAAAAAAACTCATCACATTCGAGACATCCCCCATTTTAGTCCTTAAACAACATAATCTGTGAGTATTTTTTAGTCCAAACTAGTCAATTACATCTGCCACAGGTTTGAGGAACCATCTGGGCTAGCTCTTCGATAACATCGACAACATCGGTCGTATCGAGGGTAAGAAGGTAAATTACCGTATTTATGTCTCTGTAACTCTTTCCCATACCCTTTCTGTTTTACTATTTTGTCACAATTGACTGAAACAGGGGAAAAAGCAGAGAAAATGCCAATTTAAAACTCAAAACAATAAATCAAACAATACACAGGCACACACACACACACAGTTATATGCGTGTGTATATGTAATTAGGGTTTTTAATTTTTGGCCACTACTACTAATTAATGGAGGCACAAGTGCTTCCAAAAGTGCTTTCCCGCCACTTGTAACATACGAAACCAGACCCCCAAAACAAAACCCCTCCCATTCTTTCCTTAACGGCCGTTTTCTGGAAGCACTTAATGGTTCTTGAAAGTGTTGCGATTGTTTCCAAATCGACTCAACACTACAGACCCTGCTTTCAATAGTTTACTTAGATATATATATCGATGTGTATCTATACATATCTGTCTATATATAGAAGTGAAGATGAGGCAGGCGAGTGTGTTGATTGCGAACCAAAGTGCGGTGAATTCGGCCGATTTAGAAGGGCAAATGAATCCAGGTAAGATAATGTTGCTGAGGTCATTTACTTAATGTGCATTGCTTTCTCTCTCTATATCTAATAATGCGTGTATAGACGATCTTGGTTTGATATATACACACACATATAGAGAGAGAACAGAGTGCGAGTGAGAAATGGAATCGCTTATAAATAAAGAGATAGAGTGAGAAAGGCTGCTTCAGAGTTTGTGTAAGAGAAAGAGGAAAGGGCCTGTCTAGAGAGAGAGAGAGAGAGAGAGAGAGAGAGTGCCTTCAGAGTTTGTGTTAGAGCAAGAGGAAGAGGAAAGCGGCTGCCTACACACACACACACACTACACACACAGAGGGAACCTTGGAACAGAGAGAAGGTATACGTTGTTCTGTTTTTTTTTTCTTTTATCTTTATAGTTATGTCTCATTTTTCTTTCTTTATAGATTCCAGATATCTAGACCTAGTTATGTTGATTTAAGTGAATGAGATTTTTTAGGTCTCTCTTTTTCACTGTTTGATCAGTGAGGGTTCCATACATATGTATGTGTGTGTGTGTGTGTACATACAGATGGAGAGTGAGATCCTTGGAATAGAGAGAAGGTATATGTTGTTCTGTTTGTTTTTTCTTCTTCTTCATATACAGGTCTTATTTTTCTTTCTTTCTAGTTTATAAGTATCTAGACCTAGTTATGTTGATTTAATTGAACTAGAATGATTATGTCGTCCTTTTTCACAGTTTGATCAGAGAAAGTGTTCCATATATTTGAATATGTATACAGAGTTGTAGTTAATGAAAAATCGATGATCAATTTAGATAATGGTCCAAAGATCTAATTACTGACAGGCACAGAGAGAGGAGGGGGATAGATAAAGATGGATGATAAGTTAAAAGAATGGTTGAAATTGAACTCAATGCAAATTTTCAATTCAATCAATTATGTGTTTTATATGTACATATGTATGTATAGAGAGAGACATATATATATATATAGAGAGAGAGAGAGAGTGAGAGGAGGGAAAGGGGAGAGAGAGTCTTCTTTTGGTCTTTTTATTTCCCATGCAGTAGTATATGTAACTGCATCAATTTAATTAGCGTAAACTGTAACCCTAGAGATACGCTCTTCTTGTTTATGCCTTCCTTTTTTTCTGTTCCCTTTCTTTCTCTACAGAGCATCTGGATAAAGAAAACAAAAAATAGCAATAGTTAGTAGAGAAAAGCTATTGTTGGTTTCCCTTTCATCCCACATGCAGAAAGATAGTAAAATCATTTTTCAAGGAATTAACAGAGACCTCTTTCTCCCTCCTCCTTTCCATTTCCTTCCCATTTGTAAATAAAAAATGGGCAAAGCCTTTTCTTCCTATACCATTCTTTACAACTCCTTTAGTGCAAGCACAATTTTGTTTTTCACGTGTGAAGGACTAGCATGCTGGTTTTATGGATGAGAATTATCATTTCTCCTTTTTTTTGAACACGTGATAATATTTGCTTGACTTGAGGTAGTGTTTGATACATGTATATAATTATATATGTGGTTGTGTGCCATTTTTTCCTTTTTATATATAAATAGAGAGAGAGAGAGAGAGAGAGAGAGAGAGAGAGAGAGAGCCATTCATAATGGAAATATGGATGGTCAGTTCAAAGACGGGTTGAAAAATCAGATTACTCAGTCACACATATACCTTCACAAAATGCAACACACACAGAGAAAGGGAATTGATGGGTGGATCATCAGTTCAAGAAATGTTTGGATTGAATTGCATGTAAATAGAAGACTGTGGGGCAAGTTGGAACTGAGAGAGAGAGAGAGAGAGTACGTATCTGGTATGGAAAGAGAGGTATGTCTTTTTTTCTAGTTTTAGTTTTCACTCACGCAGAACTGAATTATTCATATTGATTAAGAATTGTTTGTTCGTTTACGTATATGCACACATTGATTCTGCTTCAATCATAGATGAAAAAGTACAATTATGTTTGTCAATCATGTTTTTTCAGAGTTTACTTGTGGATTTGTATTTTTCGTACAAGTTACAACACATAAATGCACACTTATGCGTGATATATACGTACAGTCATACAGTGTGTGAGTACGTGCATTCATGCGCAGAAGGTAGATATATTTGTATATGAACATGTTTGTATATAAATATATTTATGTACAGAGAGGTATTGGAAATCAGTTTTTTTAAGAAATAAATGGTGTTAAAAAGTTGTACTAAATTAATATGCTTATGAAGTTTTTACTTCTCGTCTTTTTATTGTAAATCTTGATTTGTATTTTCTCTAGATGTGAAGGACAACTTGTGTCATTGTTCTCCTTACTCGCTTGGCAATATTTGAAGATTACCGAGTCTTTCTTTGTGCATCAAATTTTTAACTAAAGCAACGGTTGCTGTAAATGGTCGCTGAATAAGGATGTACTCACAAGGTAGCGACTATTAGAATCTGACTAAAATGTAATAATACGTACCAAAATCCAATGAATTTTTAATGAATTTTGTTGAATTTAAAAAGATGCTTTAATGCAGGTAATGGATTTTATATTAAATTTAAGTCCCTGTCAGTAATAAAATCTTACTAATTTTGACCTTGCACTTATTTTTTCCCTCACAATTGCACTGACATGGAAATGTATAAATGTTATTAATTAAAGGATGTTCAAACAACATCTCCGAAAGATTCAGAACAAGATCTCTCTCCAGATCTTAAATCAATAACAAATTTAGGGAAAATTTAACCTAAATGAAGTGAAATATGAAATACCGATTGAAAGAAATGTCCCAAGCTCTTGATTCGGGATCTTATGCATTGTAAGTTTTGGAGATTAGACTTACATATCTTTTTCTTTTTTGGGAGAGGATGGGGGCTGGTATTTTGGGAGAAAATTAGAAGATGGGAAATATATGGTAGTTATATATCACTTTCTGAAACAATAGTTATTGGACTTGACGTCCATTATGGTGCTATTATGGTATTTTACGGACCATTACGACAAGAAATGGTATCCCCTGTTGGCCATTAAGGCCATAAATTTCGCATATTGCTACTTGGCAATACGGTTATATACCTTTTATTTTCATGTTCGTTAAAACCACGCAATGCATATTTTTCTACTAAAATAATATTTTTGTAAGCTGTTCCGCAAGGATTCCTACATGGATGTAGATTTTGTTTCATTTTCCTGTTTTATGATATGGATTTTGAATCAGCCTCTTCATACATCTGCATCATTTAAACCCGCATCGCTCATATTATAAGTATTCAGCATGCATATTCTGGTCCCTGTTAAGGATTTAGCCAAAAAAAAGGTGGGCTCTTTGTTTCCTTTCTTCTCTTTCTATATTTTGATTTTTTGATTTTGGAAATCTGTAACACATTACTTGATATTATGCCAACAGTTCTTTTGTTCAGATGGGTATAGTACTATTTTATTGTTTCCTGCCACACTTTCTGGATTAGTATGTCTTTGCAGCATTATTATACTTTTGTAGTTTGTTACAACTTTTGATTATGAATGTTATTGGTTTCGGTAATACATTTCACACAAATCATTGTGGTATTTTTATTTATGTTGTATGATGCATAATTTGTTTGGATCTGCCATTAAAATATATATCTTATTTGTTGCATTTCATATTTGTTATTCTTTGTTCTTTTCGTTGCTAGTTTGCACCATTTATGTTTTCTACCCTTCCAGGTATATGGTTCATGTTGCTTTTTATTTGTCCTCGTGTGTATTTATGTATATGTAGTTTAATTTTATGAACAATTATCAAAGATGGAAAAGTAGGATTCTTTTCAGAGATCTTATTTCCACTCATCCATTGGTTCCCATGATATCTTCTTGTATGGAAAACAATAAATGAATGTTTGCATTATTCAATTTATGGTAGTTTTGGGTGATCCAAGATTAAGATTTGGAGAAAGATATATGTGACATTTCAGATTAAATATTGCTTGTAAAGTTCAATCCCTCTTTATATAGAGGTATCAGATGATGAACTACCTCTGAAAATGGGGTATCACTTTAAGTGTTCCTTATTGTCTGTCTCTTTCCCTGTGGTTTTTCTCTATATCTCCGTCTCATCTTTAAGACCTGTGTAGTTCTGTTTCTGTTGTAAAATATATGTCTTGTTTCTTTGAGTAATAATAATCATGGCTATCGGATTTCAGTCCTGGGCTTCTCTAGGAGAATTATTGATGTCTAAGTTTGCATTATTTCATTAAGTTTCAGTTCTTATTTTTTCTTTTGGGAATGAATAAAAGAAACCTATATCTTCTATGTGGAAAGCAACATAATTGAATGTAATACTTTCAATTCTATGGGTATTTGTGATGGTTACATTTATTATTCCATCATGTTGACTTATTTAGCTACATTTTATGAACTTCATTCCACCTTTTTAACTTTTCCATTCTTACTGTTTTTGCTATGGCTTAATTTCTTTGCCCCTTGCTTGCTGAGCAAGTCAAGTATGGATAGTTCGGCTGTCGGCATGCAAGATACCCTGCTGCTTCCGGCCTTAGTGGTGCATATAGAGTTGATAGCTACTGTCAGATGATATGCATTAGAGAGTGTTTCTGGATGGGAATGTTTTGATCTATTCTGCTTCCTTTTTACCAATACCATGGCAAGCATGGGGAAGAGAAGAAATGAATTTTCGTATGTCCTAGGAGTTTTATGCACTTTGTCCTTGTTTAATCTCTCTCGATATATAATTTAATCTCCCCATTTACATGGGAATAAGGCAAGAATGATGATGATGGATGATGCTATATAATTTAATCTCATATTTTCTGAATTTTTTTTTTTTGCTTCTTTTACATCTTTGAATCTCATAAATATTCTATTTATCTTATCTGTGTGTTATTTTCTCTTCCATTGTTTGCCTTCAATTTTCCCTTCTAGTGCTTCAGCTAGGAGTTTGAGTAACCATTATCATTTAGGCATGGTAACTTCAATTGCTTAGCATAGAAAAATTAATGGTTATGAATTACCTATGGTAGATCATTTCCTCTCAACTTATGTTCATAGCTGATATAGATATTTTTTGCAGTTTGGTTCGTTTTGTCTTGGAACCTGTAAATTTCATTGTGTTTATGCAGTCATTGTTGAGTTGTTTATGCAAATCTGCTTCTTGCAGCTCCATTTCTGTATGGAAATGGATTATATAACTTCACTATAGGTGGAGTATGACAAGTCAAAATAGGGCTACATACATATACATTTACATATGCATATGCATATGCATTGATCAATACGTATATAAACTATTACATTAACTTGCATCTATATATATATATATATCCATATCATAGTCAGAACTCAGGTGTCCAGTGTCCATTATATTAATGTGTCTTCGCTCTATTTCCCTACCCTGTGGCCTTGTTGAACTAAAGGTGTGTTTTGCATTTTCCTTTTGTTTGCTTTCTTTCTTCCCCTCCCCTTGTTATAATTCTTCATTATTTTCTTTTTGGAAACATAGGACTGTAATCCGAGGCTCTGATAGAGAATTGCATAAGGTCAGTGATCTAGACCTAGAGGTAACGACTTTTTGAATTTAACTGAATTCTAAATTCAAATTTAAACTTAATAACTAACTCTATTTAATCAACCATGTGATAATAAAACTAAAGCAGTATAGAATAGAAAGATGGTGACATAATTTTTGTGTGGAAAACCACGAGACATAGTCCAGGCAATCACTATGAGAAAGACATATTACAACCTAGGTTAATAGTTTCCCAAACCCTGGAAAACCCTAGTTACCTCTTGATGCAAATTGATGCCAAACTTGACACTCAAGTCTTCAGGCCGTTCATCATGTGTGTCAACAAACTTCGCTCCTCACGAATCTGCTTCTTGAACCAGTGATTTGATCTCAATCACTAGTTGTCCAAGTCAATCTCTAAAGAATGGATTGACGTAGATGTAGAACTAGCTTGTTATAGCTCCACAACAATTGTTGTCATCACGCTTGAATTATATTCACCAACTAATGCAGATGATGAATGTAAAAAGAAAAATATGCACTCTAAAACTCACAAAATATGCTCTTTTTTTCAGCTTTCTGTATGTATGATTTGTGCTTGTAATCTGCTGTAGAGTAGTGTATACATAGAAGTATAGAGAGAAAAGGGTCATCAGTGTTCTAATTGGAAAAGGAAACTGCAATTCTGTATAGGTCGATTGATCGAGAAATTGGTTGGTCGATCAAATCAGATTCAGAGTGTTTCAAGCAGATTTATACTTGGAAAATTCTCAATATATCAAGTTTCCAAAACACTTGCATTCATATAAAAAGGAATTTTGTAAATTAAATAACGGAGTCTTAGAAAACCTAATGCATCTATGCATGAATCCTAACATGGTGAGTGAGTGCATCAAATGTGTCAATTTAACTTTTTACCCTTGGTGTAGAAGATTACACATTTACCTTTGAATGTAGCTTATATACCTTCTTGAACTATGAGCAAGAGGTAACAATTAACACTAACTTTTGAAATTTCTAACTAAACTGGAAAGGAAAAACAAAAGTTAAAGGTTCCTGGTTTTGATCTATGAAATATGCCAACAGAAGTCCTATTAACCTAACACCTTTCCTTATGTTTCCTGTCAACTTTAAATAGCACGATTGTAGCTTGCAATTTGCCATGCTGTTTCGTCTCGTTTACTGCTCCTTGCTGAATCTTTCCATTTATGATTTTATCTTATGCTGTCTACATCTGTTCCTCATGATACTTCTTTGTATCTCTTATAACTTCTGTTCATCTTATTCTCATGTTTTCCTTTTATGATCATCCTCTTCTTCTTGGAATGATTTTGATTACGGAGATTTTAAGTTGATACTATTAGGTACTTAGCAAAAATAGTCCTTATGAATTAGGCATGACAAATCATCTTCCTTCCACATATGGTTATCTCTAAGTTTTAGTTTATGCAGTAGATTTCTTATAATTTGGAATTTTCACATATCATCCTCTATAGATATTGTAACATTCTGCTATAGATTCTAATTGTTGAATGTTCAGTATTTTCGAAGTCACAGTTCTTCTAAATTGAATAATATATATAATGAAGAGGGTAACTATCTCCAAATTTGGCTTCTTGCATGTCCCATTTCCGAGAGTGAAATATTTAACTCCACTACAAGGCTGTCTGAACACATTGATCAATCCAAACGCGGCAACTGGCTGTTCATTGGATGACATTTTCTCGTTTTCCTTTTCATTCAACTCAGTAAAATTGAATAAATCATCCTCTCTGGAATTAGTGTATGGTTTTGTTCTGAATATTTTTATCCCCAAATGCCATTATGTTGTCTCTCATGGACCCTTTCCTTCTCATCTAATATCTGTTGGACTTGATTATCCGACAGTCCAAAGCAGGAATATTGGGATGGGAATGCCTAAAGGACCCTTACATTTTAAATTGGTGTTATTCATCATTTTTTCGATGCCACTCCATCCTTATGTACACCAGTATATACTCTGAATTAATATAAGGCTGGCTTCAGGGAATGAACTTAAAAAAAAGTACTAGCATATCTTCTCAATACAAACTTAAGTTGTTAAATTCTTCATGAGTGAGAAGTGAGAACAAAAAATGTGTATAAAAATATGTACGAGTGAGAAGTCTCAAGAATAGATGCTGTATCTGTCAGACCTTTTTCTTTTAGTTAGATGTTAGGAATGGGGTTGGAATAAACGTGGTTTTCAACAGATATTGTTGTCTTAATTGTCTTGTATTAAATGAGTGGTTGTATCAGTTTAATGCATTAAGTAGGTTGATAGGTTATCTCCAAGGTCAAGTTAAAGAAGGCTAAAGCAAGCTGAATGGAGGGTAGCTATCAGTGTTCCGGTCAGCAAAATATACTGCATAATTGTGCTTTGGAAATTTCCATATTTCCATACATAAGGCAACCGTCACATGCTTTTCTAATGTACTAAAAACATTTATTGATGATCTAGTGAATAGCCTCAGTCCAAACAAACTAATGTGTATAACAGTATGAATCTCCAACAAATATTAAGAAGGCTATGGTCTGAAACTTTTGCAATAAGCCTCTGAAGAGTTGTACATATATATATTCCTGTGGTTTAATTTTTTGTTGTCTGCATTTCTTTTCATCATTTGCATGTGTACCTTGTATGGTTGTTGGTCATCTAATTGTTGTACATGCTTCCCTTTTTTGTGTAATAATGCGGTCAGTTTTGTTAATTATTTGTGTTCATACGCCTCTTTCCTTTTTTTCCCATTTTTGACCAGATTTGTTGTTGTAGGAATGGGGAAAAAGAGAACACAAGCTAAATCAAAAAATTCAAGTGCTGATGCTAATAGAGCAGATCCTAATATTGAAGTGGCCACAAAACAGAACCAAAAGCGAATAAGCTCTGAGAGCATTGACAATGTTGGTTCTCGGAAAATGCCAAAGCGAGCTACTTCCTGCATTGATTATAAGCATAAGTCAGTGCGCTTGTCTGAAAAATCTATGGTCGTTGGAACTAAAAAGGAACAAGCAGTGGAAGATGAATTAGAAGCTATAAGTTTGACAACTAGTGGGGATGATTCGCGGCCAAATAGAAGATTGACAGATTTTATCTTCCATGATGCAAATGGAACACCACAGCCTGTAGAAATGTTGGAAGTGAGTGATATATTTGTTTCTGGTCTCATCTTACCCTTGGAGGAAAGTTCTGACAAGGAAAAGGAAAAGGGGGTCAGATGCGAAAGCTTTGGACGAATAGAATCTTGGGCTATATCTGGGTATGAAGATGGCTCACCCGTCATATGGATCTCCACAGATATTGCCGATTATGATTGCATTAAGCCTGCCAGTAATTACAAAAACTTGTACGGCCTTTTCTTAGGAAAGGCTCGTGCATGTGTTGAAATCTACAAAAGGCTATCAAAATCTTCTGGAGTCGACTCTGATCTGACTCTTGATGAATTAATTGCAGGAGTTGTGCGGTCAATGAGTGGTAGCAAGCATTTTCCTAGTGGTATGTCAATTAAGGAGTTCATTATTTCACAGGGTGAGTTTATTTTTAATCAATTGATTGGCTTGGAAGAGACTTCCAAGAAAAATGATCAGGTCTTTGGTGAATTGCCTGTGCTTGCTGCTCTTAGGGATGAGAGTAAGAAATATCTGAGTTTTGCACCTGAAAAGAGGAATCCTTCTGGAGGAGTGAAGAATACAAATTTGAAAATTGGGGATGGGGAGAAAGAAAATCAGTCCTGTGAACCCAATCATGCAGACAAGGAAGATGAAGATATGAAATTGGCTCGGTTGTTGCAAGAAAATGAAAACTGGCAATTACTGAGACAGAAGAAAAGGCAGCGTCCAGTGACTTCAACAAACCAATGTTACATCAAGATTAATGAAGATGAGATTGCAAATGATTATCCACTTCCTGCATTTTACAAAACTGCAGTTCTAGAAACTGATGAGTACATTATCTTTGACAGCGATATAGATACAACCAATCCTGATGAACTTCCTCGGAGCATGCTCCATAACTGGTCGCTTTACAATTCGGACTCTCGGTTGGTTTCTTTGGAGCTTCTCCCAATGAAACCCTGCGCAGATATTGACGTGACAATTTATGGGTCAGGGATTATGACAGCTGATGATGGAAGTGGATTTTATCTTGATGCTGACTCTAACCTACCTTCTTCTAGTTCTGCTGCAGCACAGAATATGGATGGTATTCCAATTTACTTGAGCGCAATAAAGGAATGGATGATTGAATTTGGAGCATCAATGGTCTTTATTTCAATCCGAACTGATATGGCCTGGTATTGTGCATTGATTGTCATAATAGAAATTTGATAGTAGAGTCATTCTGATTATTTTAGATCTTACTTAATATTTTTTAGTAATTAAGTTATTATAGATCTTTCTTTTTAATAATTAATTTTTAATATTTTGTATTTCCTAATACCTATTTAGTTCTATACATTATTGGTTTCCTCCATTCACAATCTAGAATAGACCCTTGCTTCTTGTTCAAAATCTACAATGACCTCACCTACTTCCGTGCATACAAGTTACCTATAGATAAAGTAGTTATCTTACTTCCTCTTTTGTTTTCTTATTCTTCTCCGTGGGGATGAGGGGGTGGGATTTGATTTCAGTGGTTAATTAGTAATCTTATTAATGATAAATGCCTCTTCCATGTTGATCGTGATCTGCTCAATCTAAGTTCTTTGCAAATTTTAGCAGTGGAAATGGATAAACATGATGTATGACTTTGTAGTCTTCTTCCTGTCTCTTTAGGTATAGGCTTGGAAAGCCATCAAAGCAGTATGCTCCATGGTATGAACCAGTTTTGAAGACAGCAAGGCTTGCAATTAGCATCATTACATTGCTAAAGGAGCAAAGCCGAGTATCACGACTTTCCTTCTCACATATCATTAAGAGATTATGTGAATTTGACAAGGATCACCCTGCTTACATTTCTTCAAATTCTTCGGTAGTGGAAAGGTATGTGGTAGTTCATGGACAGATTATACTGCAGCAATTTGCAGAGTATCCTGATGATACCATTAGGAAGTGTGCTTTTGTGAGTGGGCTTAATGATAAAATGGAGGAAATGCATCATACCAAGTGGCAAGTGAAGAAAAAACTGGTGCTGAAGAAGGAAGCGAATTTGAATCCAAGAGCAGCAATGGCACCTGTGGTCTCAATGAGGAAGGCAATGCCGGCTACGACAACAAGACTGATAAATAAAATTTGGGGAGAGTTTTATTCAAATTACTTGTCAGAAGATTCAAATCAGAAAGATACTTGTGAAATGAAGGAAGATGAAGAAGTTCAGGAGGAACAGGAAGAAGATGAAGAGGAAAATTTGGAAGAGGTTGAAGAAGAAAAGTCCCTAATTGTTGAAGAAACTGAGAAACCTCAGGTGGCATTAAAACAAACAAAACCATGTTGCTCAAACAACCAGATTAGATGGGATGGGGAGGCGGTAGGAAGAACATGTCACGGTGAGGCTCTTTATAAACAGGCTATTGTTCGTGGAGATGTGGTTACTGTAGGTGGTTCTGTGCTGGTGGAAACAGCCAACTCAGATAAATCTCCCTCCATCTATTTTGTAGAATATATGTTTGAAAACTCAGCAGCAAGAAAAATGGTTCATGGCAGAGTAATGCTGAGAGCATTTCAGACTGTCCTTGGCAACACTGCTAATGAGAGGGAGGTATTTCTAACAAATGATTGTGTGGATTTTGAACTGGGTGATGTTATACAAACTGTGGTTGTGGAAGACCGATTGATAGCTTGGGGTCATCAATATCGCAAGGTGAATGCCAATAATAATAAGATTGACCGGGCAAGAGCAGAGGATAGGAAAAGTAGAGGATTGCCCATGGAATACTTTTGTAAATGCTTGTACTGGCCTGAGAAAGGTGCTTTCTTTTGTCTTCAAACTAATTCAATGGGCCTTGGTACTGGGATTTGCCACTCTTGCAAAATAAAGAAAATGGAAAGAGAGAATAAGGCCTTGAAGGTGAATTCTTCCATGACTGGTTTTACACACAATGGAATTGAGTACTGTGTTCATGACTTTGTCTATCTAGGTCCTCATCACTTTGCAGCAGATGAGAAGGATAATGAAACTTTTAAGAGTGGGAGGAACGTGGGGCTGAAAGCTTATGTTGTTTGTCATTTGCTGGAGATTGAAGTGGATAAGGATGCTAAAAAAGCCGATTCTGAAACAATGGGTGTTAAAGTTAGGAGGTTTTTCAGACCAGAGGACATTTCTGCAGAGAAAGCATACCATTCTGACATAAGAGAGGTAACATATTAAAAATAACCATTCTTGCTTTCCTCGATTTTCTTTTTGCTAATAGCACCTTTCAATTGAATTTGCAGGTTTATTACAGTGAACAAATACTTTCGGTGCCTATAATAGCTGTAGAAGGGAAGTGTGAGGTTAGAAGAAAGCAAGATCTTCCACCTTTGCATCCTGCAACTTTTGAGCATATTTTCTTTTGTGAACATTTGTTTGACCCCAATAATGGAGCTATCAAACAGGTAGTTTATCCTTTTTCCTTGTCCAACAACTGTGATAATTCCCCTTGTGCTTTCTTTACTCTGTTTGTTGGGTTAATAAATGAATGGAAATCTTTGTGAGGTTTGTTTTTGTTCTCTAATAGGATATTCTTTTTTTCCCCCTCTTAATAAACACTGTGATTCTTTTTCCTATTGGATTGCATTTTCATCTTTTAAAGTCTGTAGTTGCCATTTTCATCGACAGTTGCCAGCTCACATTAAATTAAGTCCCTCAAAAGAATGGGTGGTAGACGTTACTGTTAATAGAAAGAAAAAGGGGAAGATGAAAGAAGGAGAAAATGGTTTTGATGCTATTGACAGACAAGAGGATGCATCTCAGACAAATCGCCTGGCCACACTTGACATTTTTGCCGGTTGTGGCGGCTTATCTGAAGGTTTACAGCAATCAGGTAAGCTTTATTTATTTATGTTAAATTTTGTTTCATCAGCTTTATATTTAGTGTGGAAGTTCTACCCATCCATTGGTATAATATTTGCAGGTGTGTCACTTACCAAGTGGGCAATTGAATATGAAGATGCTGCAGGCGAAGCTTTTGGCCTCAATCATCCAGAGGCATTGACATTCATTAATAATTGCAATGTGATTTTAAGGTGGATATTTGCCCAATTTTGTACTTGCATTGACATTAGTTAAAATTGCATTGTTGTCCAGAGGCAGTTGTTTTTTCATATTAAGTATAGTCATACCATGTCCTGTTTAATTATTATTATTATTATAAAAAAAATAAATAAAAAAAAAAACAAACAAAAGGAATCCTGTTTCCAAAATTTGTGCTTGGTAGAAATTGGTAAACTAGGCCTTTCCTTGTTATTTCATATCATTTTTTCAATTATTTTTTATGAGAGGATTCTATTTTATGCCTACGAAGTATGATCCCTAGTTTAAGTAATAAAATTAATGCAGTGCTGTCTTAAATGAATTAACGTGCAGGGCTATCATGACAGCATGTGGGGATGCAGATGAATGTATTTCCACTTCTGATGCTGCTGAATTAGCTGCAAAGCTTGATGAGAAGGAGATCAATAATTTGCCTCGGCCTGGGCAAGTTGATTTTATCAATGGAGGTCCTCCATGTCAGGTATGCACAGAATCAATTTCGTCCTTAGACCTAGGTAAGCCTTCAACACAACACATTCAACTTTGGGTTTGTTGACTTGTTCTCAGTGAAGTTTCTCACCCATTGATGCAAATAACACCCTTATTTATTTATAGGCATCCACATTCTTAACCAAATGGCTAGGGTCAAAAAAAATGAATGGAACCTTCCGGAACTATGTACAAAATATCTTAGATAATTTGGGCATTTCAGAATATTATCCTGTACTCAACAAGACTTTTAGACACAATTGACACGCAGGCAAGCCATGCTACTCTACTGCTCTCCTAGTAAACCCTTGTGCATCGTTTGTTGCATAACCTTCCTAGTTCCTAAAAAGTGGCAAGATGTGACGTTTTGCTCCTTTTGCTGTTTATAGAATATAATTATCGTAGCAGTTCTAGTAAGCTTGTAATGATGCTACTGAATCTTTACTCTGACGCTGTCTTTCTCTACAGGGATTTTCTGGAATGAATAGGTTTAATCAGAGTACTTGGAGTAAGGTTCAATGTGAAATGATCCTCGCTTTTTTATCTTTTGTTGATTACTTTCGGCCGAAGTTTTTCCTCTTAGAAAATGTGAGGAACTTTGTATCATTCAACAAAGGACAGACCTTCCGGTTAACTCTAGCTTCGCTCCTTGAGATGGGATATCAGGTACATGCAGATTTTGTCGCTTTATTTAAATGAACTTCTCACTCATCAACTAACTATACAAAATTTAACAAGACATCTGTTGGGAAGGGCGTGGTAGTACTACTATCTCAACTTCTTTTCGTCCTAGTTGCTCTGCTGAAGAATAATTTGGAAACTATTAAAGTTGGTTTCTTGCTGGAAGGAGGCTGTTGGTAAATTATGTGTTCCTTGTATGTAAAGGGATCAGAACTGAAAATCAGTGGTAGTTTGTCACATTTTGGTGGTGTTGAGTTAATGAGTTTTCTGTACCTGCAGAATAAAAAAATAAAATTATATAAAGTTTTCCTCTATCATGTGTGATGTAAAATGTGTTTCTTGAGATGACAAGGTTAATTTCCTCCATGCAGATTAATTATTATATTTCTGTGGCAGGTGAGATTCGGTATTTTGGAAGCTGGAGCCTACGGTGTTTCTCAATCTCGTAAACGTGCATTCATATGGGCAGCCTCACCTGAAGAGACTCTCCCTGAATGGCCCGAGCCAATGCATGTCTTTGCCGGTCCAGAGCTTAAGGTTACATTAAATGGAAATACCCAATATGCTGCTGTTCGAAGTACTTCAACTGGTGCCCCTTTCCGCGCAATAACTGTGCGAGATACAATTGCAGATCTTCCATCTGTTAGAAATGGGGCTTCAGCATCAACCATGGAGGTGGGTTTCTTCTCCGGTTCTGATGAAGCTTCTTGTGTTATTATTGTTCTATCCTTTTGTTGACCTTACTATTTTCTTATTTTTGATGCTCAGTACAAAGATGAACCCATTTCTTGGTTCCAAAAGAAAATCCGAGGAGATATGCTGGTGTTAACTGATCATATATCAAAAGAAATGAATGAGCTCAATCTTATTCGGTGCCAGAGAATTCCTAAACGGCCTGGTGCCGATTGGCGTGATCTCCCTGATGAAAAGGTACTTTTATGTTTCTTTCTTTTCTGATATTTAGACTTGAAGGAATATAGTTTTGGATTTAAGATAGCGGCTCACTGATCTCACATCTTTTAGCTCAATTGTAAGGCTACTATATTGTATAATTTTTTTTTAATGAATTTAACGCTTATCACACTTCTTCTATTCTATGTTCCTTGGACTTACTTACCTGCATAGGGTGTGATTGTACGTCTTAAGTGTTGTACCTCTATGAATCCCAAGTCTTTGGAGATGGGAATTTGATTTATATCCTCTTCTAGAGAAGAACTTTTTTTTTTTTTTTTCTTGACCCCAATTCAGTACCAAACAATTATGTTACATAATAGCGTAATATATGATCTTATCATTCTTTAAGAATATACTCGATAAAAATTTAAATTAAATAAGATGATAAAAATTGTTTTCATCAATTTCGAAAGTAAGAAACTCTTCTATGTTATTAGATTGTGCCTTTTCTTCTTTCATCATCACACCTATATCGGTTTGTGTTGGACCAGTTTCGGTTTAATTTTGCTACACCTGCAGGTTAAGTTGTCTACAGGACAAGTGGTTGATCTAATACCCTGGTGCTTGCCTAACACATCCAAAAGGCACAATCAATGGAAGGGCCTGTTTGGAAGGTTGGACTGGGAAGGGAACTTCCCAACTTCTGTTACTGATCCTCAACCGATGGGCAAGGTCGGGATGTGCTTTCACCCTGAACAGGATAGAATACTCACAGTCCGGGAATGTGCTCGATCTCAAGTAAGTCCATTATCAATCTTCAAGTGTATCTCAAACTGGGAGTCATTTGGCATTTGCAAACATATTTGGATGATGTCAACAGGGATTGGAATGAATCAGTATTTCAGAAATTAACTGCAAGAAGCTATGAAAATATTTGGATTCCAATGGTAATGTTGAGAAAAAGAATGCTAGAATCAAGTTAAAGGAAGGGCAAAGCTCAGTGATAGAAAAAATAATAATAATAAAAAAAAATAATAAAAAAAAAATAAAAAAAATCTCCATGCTACTTAGGAACCAATACTTGTGTGATATTGATGAATCATTTGCAATAATTGCAATGTACTTCAATGATTTTGCTATTTGTTTAATAGAACAAAACAATATTGGATAGTCAAGAGTGACAACGGCTGCTTTCTGATCTGTTTAAATTTCTTTTTCATTTCATACATGCAGGGTTTTGCAGATAGCTATAAATTTGCCGGTAACATTCAACACAAGCATAGGCAGGTTGGCAATGCTGTCCCTCCTCCTCTGGCATTTGCACTGGGGAGGAAACTTAAGGAAGCAGTAGAAGGAAAACGCTCAGCGTAGTGGGGCTGCTCTTATGTGCACAGGGATCTTTTGTTTTTGTTGGGTTGATATCTCAAGCCTTATCATTTTTGTAAATCAAACCCTTAAAGATTTTTCTTTTGTAATTCTTTTTGTTGCCTAAGGCAACAATGTCATAGAGTTGGGTATACATAGGAGTTCGCCAAGCATACCGCTCTTTTGTAGTAGAAAAAAAAACAAGGTATGTCATGACCGAATGAAATGGAAGGCAATATCATAGAGCTGGGTATATAGATAGTTCACCAAATATACCATCTTTTGTAGGTACATTTTGACAACTGAAATCCAGGGAATTGAATGAAATCGACATATGTTTCATTTGTGGTTGTCTAATATTTTACGGACACCGTTTTGTATAGTGTGACTAAATGTAATGACCAGAGTCATGCTTAATTAGAGAAATCTCGTCAACTTCTCGGTATGATTTTCTTCTAGTGAAATTTCCTCGACTTGTCGGTATGATTTTCTGGGTGTTTGGAAAACAGGAGTATATTGGCTTTTCCTTTCAACACGAAAGGCTTTCATTGACTTATTTTATTTACAGGGCATGTCAAGGCCAAGCAATGAGCAGGTGAACCCAGACCCTAAGGGATTTTGAACCTGAGTTATTGAGAAAGTTGGTTTTTGCCAAATATGCGTCATATAATTGCTGAATGTAGGGAATTTTAAAGCAAGCTTGGTGAAGAAACCAGTCTACTGAATGTTGGAAATTTTAAAGCAGGCATGTAATTAAACCACTCTTAATACTCATCTATGCTCAAAAGGAGCCTTTATGAAAAAGTTTTTTTTAGTATCATCGAGACATCGACCAGGAAATGTGTGTTCTAATTTCGTTCATCATAATACCTCTTTAAATCACGTTTATCAATGTATCCGAGTTGCATTTACTTGTGTTGCTCCCAATATGTTGGATTTGGGAGCACCAAATCGATTGTATTTATGTTGTGTTGCGTTTGGGAACACTAAATCAAAGGTACTTATGTTACATTTGAGAATACTAAATCAGTACATCGGATTTGAAATAGAAAAATTTTTATTTGACACCGCTTTGTCAGTCCCAAACAAAGCTGAATTTTTTTTCCTTCCACGGTCTCTTTGTAGGTAGGGTCAATAGTCAAGTTCAAGCTCAAGTTCTTAGTTGGATTGAGTAAGAAATCAACTATCTAAGGCACTAGGCTTGGCTTGGTCATGCCCGGGAAATAGATATATAGCATCTTGCCGGAATATACTTCTATAAAAGTGTGCTGGCAAATTTGGAGGCAACGGAAAATGATAAATAGAGTTGAAAGGAAATATTTGAAAAGAAAGAAATAACCAGATTTTTTTTTTTTTCTTTTTGACAATCGACACTGATAAATTGTTTGGGGAGCTACAAAGGGAAGTTAGATCAAGGTCACCTCATATAGATAATTTCTTTTCAGGTATTTCTTTAATTAAGTTATTCACGTACCTCCAAAATTGTGTAATTTGCTTAGTCCTACTTGACATGCATAAACACTAATTTTACAAAACATATTTTCTACAAGCACAAGCTTTGTTAATATCATCATATCCTAATTTCTTCTAGTATTAATTACAACATTGTAATCGCCACTTCTTATATATATATATATATATATATTAACTGCGTCACATAATTTATAGTATTATTTTCACAATCTCCTTATCAACTCCACTTAATTTTTATTTAGAAATTTAATATACCATATTGCTATCTTAACCCTCCTAATAATAATTTCAACAAACTCTATTGTTAAAGTTCCCACATTACAATTACAGGTTGCTAATCTAAATTACTATCTTGTACCAAGCGTCTCATAGAATAGTATGAAGACCCTTGTTCACATATTTCTCCTCGAGTGTATTCCTGGGAATTCACAAGACATGATCAATTCCTTGAAAATAACAACTCTTACAGGTCATATGAATCAAATCTTATGCTTTAACCAAATCGTAGAATATTACTATGACTTGAACGCCGGAAGATCTTCATCTTGATATATCTGCACAAACGACTAACAGGATGTTGCTCAGATGCGTCCATTCACACAGTGAGCGATGCACCATTGTCTGCCATAGTAAGATTGAGTATCATTGTAGCTGCCTTTGGAGCCCTGTTGTCAACGGGTGAAAATGAATTAAATTAGGAAGAGTAAAGGAAATAAAAACTTTAGTGACTGGGAATTTTTTAATCAAATTGGTTCAAGAATTACAACTCCAAGGAACCTATGGATCATTTCCAATACGATTTCCTTAAAATTGATGTAATTCATTGATAAAAAGTAATGGTGATTTCTTAAAACGACATCACCAATGCACTAATATAGTAATACCAGCTCGTGGAAATTCTTTCAACACCTTGAAAGAAACTCTTAAAAGTGGATGTCTTCATTCCATCACTAATCTCCAAGTTCTTCCCATTTCACAGTGACTTTCATGATAAGGAATGAAATTTAGGTAATGCTTTCTAAAAGCTTGTTCCATAATAATGGAGTAATAGGAGCATGCCATCATATTACGTTTTTATTCTTTTTCTTTTTTGAAGACTTTAAGTGCTCTTAAGTTCTATTATCCAGAATCTGTCCTTTGTAGGCTTGTAAATTTATTGTTCTCTAATTTACATTATTGTATTATTATTAATTTTTTTGATAAGTAACATTATTGTATTATTTGAAGTCCACCGTTCAAGAGCAAGTGATTATGTTTCTTGTTTCAACTGTAGCCCTAGACAAGATGATGAAAATCAAACAATTAAGACATCAAATGTCAAAACTCTTTTATATCAACATAGTAGATGACTCCCAATTGCTTGTATTTCTAAGATTGTATGTGGATCACTTTCGGTTGGAGTCACCAACTCATATGCGGAACGTGTCTAAAAATTTCTCAGAAAGAAGAACACGGATATGTGGAAAAAAGGAGGATCTAAATGAAGCATAGAACATTGTGAGGCCTCTGTCTGCTTCAACCTTATTGGTCAATGGAAATTTTACAAATACCCTACAGCACTGGAGAATCAAGCCCACACCTCCCTTTTTGGTTTAGCAGATTGAGAACATTTTGGGGGATGTCTGCTGGTGATCTCCAAGGGATTTGGACTTTGGGTACTGCATAGAGCATGGTGTTCTTCATTGGTCCTATTGCATATTTTAATTATAAACAATAGTCTATATTTTTCAAATCAGCCTTCCTCCCAGTCAAATCTAAATCTGAAGATTATGTAGATAATTGATCAGATAATCTTATCTGAATTTACGAGGCAACCTACCCTAGCTTTTCCCTTCTTTAAAGTGTTACCATAGAGGCATAAAATCATCACAATGCATCTGAAGTAAGATCATATAGAACAAAATGAGAGGGAAACCACATGACTATCCTATTCATGCATTTTACCTATCCATTGTGTGTAATTTCCCCACATATGCAACCCAATGTTTCTATCTGAACACAGGTTTTACAATTTCTAAAGCCAGCTTAGATTCTTCAAGCAAAAAAGCTGTCAACAACATAAAGTCCTCAAACATTCAAAGATAGGAAAGAGAAAGAGAGGGGAAAGAGGAGGCCTGGGTGTTACAGCAATCCAGGTTCCCCATGATGAGATCTTCAAGCTTTTCCCGACGAAACCAATTCAAATGGACTATTACAGATCAGTATGGTGACAAAATCTGAGTTTGCCAGAGAAACACAGAAACATTTGCAACCACATTGTTTCTTTGCATCGAACATTCTAAATCATAATTCGTGTCATGCAAATTTTACCTTAAAGCAATTTAGAAATTATCCTAAAATGGAACAGGTCATCCGACCTCCCAAAATTGGAAACAGTAAAATCAGCATATAATGTACAAATTGAGTTCAGCAGAGAACCAGTCCCATAACACTGTTCCTTGGCACCATGTGTTCAGCATTATACGTCAATTATATCTAATATTTAAGTTATGCCACACAGTTGAAATAGCAACGAGGAAATATTCTTCTTTAAGGTTTCTTGAAGGCATGGGTTTTATGTTATGCTGATGCTTTTCTTTCAATGGAATCCAAACCATTCTGGTCCAATACAACCGTAGGTTGCATGTTTGATTCAACATATAATATATGAATATGCAATAAATTTTGTGTAAGGTAGAATAAGATTGTGAAGGATTTCTAAATATCATAGATGAGGAAAGAAATAAGAAACATACCATGACTCGGGTGTCTGGTAGAGAGCCGACGAACTGCCAAAGCAAGATGCAAGCATGTCAGTGTTTATCACACCTGGATTAAGTGCAACAATTGCCATTCCACTGGGTAACTCCTTCGCCACTGACCTAGTTAGACCCTCTACCGCCCATTTTGAAGCACAATAAGGAGCAACCTGTTGACAATTACTTAGTTTTAGAACCAAATCAATGTTGTCAGAAATGAAACCTGAACTCTGGACCATCAATATCAGTCTTGAGTAAATACTTGCGGAGAACAAACTAGAGTTATCATAAAATCCGTGCTGCCTTATTTTTTGGATAGATAATAACAAATCTTAAAGCACACACACGCGCGCGCGCATATTGTAGATTTAGGCTTATAGCACATTCTTTGGGAAAACAACTCGTATATGCAGCAATATATAGATATATATCAAGATTTAGCACAAAACATTGAAGACCAGGAATAGCATGTTGTGAATTGTAGCACAATGCCCAGTTAAAAAGCTCATATTAATTGCAAACAATATAAAGATTATCCATAGAAATAATATGGGACCAAAAACAGATTTTCAGATATTTGTACAACAGCCACTTTTTAAGTTTTACCTGTGCAGCAGCAGACCTTCCCCACCCAGATGACATATTGACAATAATCCCTTGCTTGGTCTCAATCATAAGAGGGATGAAATGACGCAACATATTTGCTACCCCCTTTAAATTAGTATCGATGACAGTTTCAAACTCTTCTGCTGGAACTTCCCATATCCTGTTGTTTCTATTAATGGTCCCTGCATTGTTTACTGGAAGATACCCTTATTTAAGTTTTATATAGACACAGCTATTCTATCATAAATGAGAGGCAATGTTTAAAAAATGGAATTAAAATAGAACCATGTGCTTAACTTATCAAAAAAAAAAATAGAACCATGTGCTTCCATTAAAGAGAAAAGTTAATAATAAGGAGAAGCCCACTGTAAGAATACTAAAATTTACCATCCATCAGGACCATCATCGAAGTTGCAATAACATGAAACGAAAAGATGATAATAGTAACCAACGGGCAGTGGTCCAGCGGTATCAAACCCCTACTTTCCAAAGGGAAGGCAGGGGTTCGACTTTCGAGCCTTGGTGGAGCCATGTGCGTGTGACTACCAACTAAGAAAAAAAAAAGACGATAATAATAAAGACCAGTAAAAGTTATGATTTTCTCACTCCTGTAGCTTATGTAGACTGTAAAATTCATATGTACATAGATTATTACCATCCTAAAGATGGTCAACATGTGGTAAAGCAAGAATAGGGACTTGTCCGTGGCTGTGAACCATATATCTGGCATTTATAGAGCCTATGTTTATATTCTTCAATAATCAATATAGAGATATATAACATTCTCATATAATGATCATTTGATTACGAGGTGATGTGATCTCCAATTTCATGAAAAGTTTTTGGCAGAAGTCCTATTGCAAATACAAAATAATCAAAAATCAAGCAAATATATAAACCATGTGACACTAAAATTTTAATGCAAAAATGAAGTTAAGATGCATATAAAAAACCAGTAATTTCCATCACAAAAAAGACAGGTTCAGGAAATGAATGAACTAAGGAGGAACTTTTGATGCATTGAGGTAGCAAGATGAGATGAGTTGTGGCTTTCTGACCATACAAATCTGCTTTGGCACTTCCTAAATCTGTTGGCACTTTTTCAGGAAATTTTTTGAATAGTATGTGAAGTAATTATCATTTCTCTTTTAGAAACCATGCATGTAACAAGTTAAATACATAATCTAACCAAACACTTAACTACTACTACATGCACAAAAGGAAGCATAAGGCAAATTATACATGTCACATACATTACATGAGCAGTTGTGCATGGTGTGGCTAAAAGATTAATTAAGGAGACATTGATGGAAACCACAATCATTTTCATGGGAAAAACTTAAGCATGGATAATAACAGGAGGGGGCCTAAGCACATGCAAACACCCTAAATTAGCGACCATTTATGGCTATATTAGAGACTCATTATAAAAAAAGTATAACCTATTCTAGCTGTTCATAATTAATACAAACCAAGCATACAACAAGTTACATACAGACGCACACATACATAATCAAACATGAAAGATGAGTTTTATCTGTACAATTAGCTAGATTTATTTCATATGGGTACTAAAAAAGTGCTTGGAATTTATAGTACTTCCCCGATTTTTGCCCTATCATTAGTTGTTAGTCCTGATTCGAAGCAACCCTATTCCATCCATAGAGAGATCCAATAGTCAAAATCAATAAAAAGGCCATTTCATCGAACCCATTAAATATAAAGTACTAAAATTAAACCAATCTGATAAGTTTTAGCTGTCTAATTGTATCACCAGTCGCCTACATTAGTAAATATCTCCCCCACACTAATACCGGTCAGGCAGTTGATGTCTCAGGAGAAACATAGGAGAAGGAAAGTTTAAGCCTTTGATGGAGCCAGGCCAATCAATAGTTATATTTTGATCCAAATCCAATCTTTTTAGCTGATCTTATAGAAGAGGATTGATATGCTAACCTAATTACAACCCAAATTCCACGTATCCAATAACTCATGGATCAAATGAGGCTTAGGGTTGATACAATCTGACAATGATCCAATTCAATTACTTAACATATTAGGCTTTATATCAAGCATCCCATATATACTATCTAACAATAGATCTTTATGGTATATAAGTAGATAATTTAGTGTTTCCTATGAGCAGCTGAAACCCACTCCCTTCTCTATCCATTCCCCCCACTGCCTGCTGCAGCAGAGCTCATCAACAATTGTGGTAGCTGTGGGTCGTTTGCAATGGTTAGTACTTCATTCTAGGAGTGTGTTGACTGTGAGCTGTGTGCAAAATGAGCTTTTGAAAATACCACAACTCGCAAGGGTGGCTTTGGTGGGTAAAGCAAGCTCTGTGGGGTTGTTATAGACATGGTAAAGGCCTAAAAAGTTTCATTAACTTGTTCACGGGCTCTTTAATTAGGGCTATCAATGGGTCAAATTCAGTGTGAATCTAGATTTAGCAAGATCCAAATCTGAATCCAATTGTTGATTTTTTCTTAGCTTTTTTTTTTTTTTTTTTGGTATGGATTTAGTTATGGAATCGATGTTCAATAACTAACAGATCGAGGTTTGTATTGGCAAACGATTAAGCCTTCATATAATCATATAGTGGATTGGACACGTTGGTCAATAAATCTGATTAGGATCATCTTTGATCTGGAAATCCACTTTGCCTAGGAATAGGTGTGGCTTAAAAACTTTGTCACAACTGACAAGTAGGAGAAATGCTGCAATCCAAGTAACCTGAGAGAGTGAGTTACAAGTTTGTGTGTGTGTGTGTGTGTGTGTGTGTGTGTTGATCTAAACATTGAACAACTTAAGAAGTCTTCTATCATTCATAAGATTTTAAAAAATAAAACGAATGCTACACTACGCTTAAATCATCTAATAGGTCTGAAACTTTTGAAGCCTGATTACTTATTGGAAATGTAGTTCAATTCAACATGCTATTTTGACATCATTTTATGGGAACTTAATAACCAATAAAAATGTAACTGCGTTGAATTTACTAAAACACCGAAAGAACAAAAGGACAAAGCCCTTTTGAGTCTTTGACAGGGAAAACTAAGAGAAGAAGAAATCCTGACTTTTCTAAGGTCCTTAAAGAGGCTTATGCAAGGGGGTTACGTTATCTTATGGTCTTACCCAGAGACTCTGATATGTGGAACGGGGATGGATGAAGAGTTGCAACTTTACTTTCCAATGTTGTGATAATTGGATAAGGGAGATCGTCAAATTGTCCTCTTGCCTAAACATAGAGATCAGATGGATCCCCAGATGATGGGGTAACGAAGAGGTTGACTCTTTGGCCTGGACAGGTGTAATTACTTTGGCACTTTATGATGATCATTTTATTCATCCTTGAGAGGTTTGGAATACATCAAACCTTGTTTTTCTTCTACTTAAACGGATGGTGTTCCCGTGAGACCATCCCAGAGTCACATATATGAGGTATATCCATGAGAAATTGAACTCGAGACCCCTTGATTGTCACTAAGAGACTGTAGCCAATCCCACTACCTCACAAGGTCATTTCTCGTTATTCGGGTTTTATTTGTCAGGGGAAGTAACCAACAGGAACTCCAATAGAGAACAAAAGTCCAAAAAAATTACAATGTGAAATCCAAATTGCATACAAGCAACAAAAGAACAAACATAAGTAAAAAGAATTTGTGTACCTATGATATCTGGAACGCCTTTCTTTTCCATCACAGCACGTGCCAACTCTTCAACACTGCTATTTGACCTCTACAAAGACAAAGTCAATCAATTACAATATCTAACATGCACACACAAAATCAATCTCTCCCCTTCCCAATGTACTCCACATTATCAACAATATTTATTTGTTTTGGACAGCACTACTTTTCAATATTTATCCCAAATTCAAAAAAGAAAAAGAAAAATGAAAATTGAGTTCAAATTTAGTATAATATTGCCCCGGAACACAAAGAACAAAATATTGGGAAAAACAGGTGATATCTTAAAAAACAATTAGACTGGAACAAGGGTTAGCAATGCAATTTCAGAGACAGACAAAAAATCAACAATCACGAAATGATACAACCAAATCATCCATAGAAAATAAAAAAAGGACAGTGTAATGAAATGAAATGCAAGGATTAAACTGGTAAACATTACCATAGAACACATAACGAACAGTATATTAGGGAAAACAAACGATTCCTTCACAAATAGTACTGAGCGACGTTCGATAGCAAACAAAAGTATCGAAACAAGAACCAAAGCCACGAGGCAATGCAATTTCACAGAGACATAGAGAAGGAGAGAGAGCGTGAACAACCACCAAATTCACTGACATTCAGCAACCAGATCATCCACACAAATCAAAGAAAAAAAAAGAATGCAAATTTGAATGAAACCCAAATTCACACAACATTCATGTATACAATTACACACATATATAGGCAAATAGAGATGGAGAGAGAGAGAGAGGGGTGTGACTGACCACATCGACATTCATGAAAAGGTGCTTATTAGAGGAGGAAGGATTGGATTGAGGAGGTTGGGAAGAAGAGGAAGAGACAGAGGAGAGCTCTGATTGTAGAGAATTGAGCTTGTCCTGTGAGCGAGAGCAACCAATGATGGTATGGCCTCTCTTGGCCAATTCTAGGGCTAGGGCTTTCCCAATCCCTCTGCTCACTCCTGTTATCAGTACCGTTCTGTGTGCTCCTCCTCCCAACGTCGCCGTCGTCACCGTCATCTTCTCTCTCTCTCTCTCTCTCTCTCTCTCTCACCTTCTTCACTCGCCGTTTAGCTTCTCGAAAATGTTAAATGTCCAGTTACGTTCACATCTTTTTTTGGCATTTGAGAGAGCTCATATTTAATTACCCCTTGTATGTTTTATTTATTTATTTATTTTTTTAAGAATCTCCATATAATTGAATCCCCTTGTAACCTCGGGCATGGACTTTTAGGATCTTGACACATGGTCATTATGGAATTCGCAATCAAAAAATTTGATTAACCAAAAATATTTGGTTTCTAAACTAACAATATGTATGTTCGCCGTGCACGGGTGGCAAGTTTTTTTTGAAGTGTCTTGGGTAACTTTGGTTTTTTCTTTTTTTTGAGTAAATTTGAGCCCTTAAGTTCAAATGTACTGATTTGAATTTAATTGGCCAAATTAGGGCAGCTAAAACCTTTAGTGGACGAACCCACCTCTCAATTCAATTCGCTTCTGTTTGGTGAGGGATAAGGATGAATATATTTATGTACTGGGGATTTCTTCCATGGATCCTTTCCTACTTTGAATTCCCGTTGTCACTTTCCACATTGACAATTTTGACCAATATTGTAAAATTTTCATATTTGTGTCAACGTGGGCCATGTGTAGCCAAAGGGTGGACCAAAGTCTTCCATCCTACACTTCTCAAAGAATTCCTTTCCATGCAAGCAAATAAGCCACAAATTAAGGGGTGCTTCCCATAAATTCAAGACTGTTTTTGTCTTGAATTTCTTTTTTTTTTTTTAAATTCCTTTTCGCACCCAACGGATCTTGATGGGCGATACAAGCTAGCACGACCCACCAAAAATTTTTATTATTATTTTTCTTCAACAATATAATCAAAGCCATTGATTCACCAACCGCTACAAACTGTTGGTGAGGAGGGAAACAGCGCAATATGAGCAAGGCCATGGCGAGTGGTGGCAGATTGCTTCACCTCAAGGTGCTTTTTCTTTTCTTGTTCCTTCCTTTGTTACACCCGTGGTGCTGAATATTCTATCTTCAACGTGGACTCTTGAGAGAGAGATATCAGGTGCCCATCCATTGATTGTTGGTGTCATACACTTGGTACACATGTTTTTCTATCTCCACCATTTTTATTTATTATTTATTTATTTATTTTTTGAAATTGCAGATTGTAAAAGTTTAGTCTGAGCTCCCTCACATCAATATATGCTACTTGTTGAGGGCGTCTAATTTGGTGTGCAACTAGGTGGCACATCGGTGTTGCTACGGGCTGAGTCAATTAAAGCTCAGAGGGAGCGCGTGTTCTTTCTCATTTTGCTCCAACCTACTATATATATATAAATACATATTTTTGATATATACATATACTTTTATGGTAATTTTAAATAGTGGCCCTCTCAACTTCTTCTAGTATATAATATATTTTTTCTTTTCTAATTTTTGTTTCTTTTTTCAAAAAATTTCTTTTTTCACTTATGTATAATTATGTATTTTTTTTAACTTATTTCTTTTTATTGATAACATTTGTGATTGTATTGATTTAAAATATTATTAATTAATATTTTGATTCTTATATTTATAATTATATTTTTTTTATAGTATTTATTTCGTATATTTTTTACAACTAATTTTTTTTTATTTGCCTTTTTGATTTAAAAAAATTATACTTTCTATTTGTCATATTTATTATTATTTTTTTTTTCAGCAACAAGTGCATTGTGCCCCCTTAAACTAATGACTCCTGCCCCTGGGTGTTGCATGACGGCCGGTGTCTTATCGTAGGAGACGGAACTGCTGGAGAAGCATGCTCTACCCATTTATGTAATTTGTGTTGCCGGTCTCCAAAGTCTGGTAAGTTTTCTCTTATTTAGTATAGATGTGATTATTATTATTTTTTTCAAATGATAAGATGAAGAAACCAGCCTGTGCATCACTTTCCTCAACTGTACTGCCCTTTTCTAAGACATGCATGTTGGGAAATCAAATTATAGTATTACCATATGCAAGTCTCCCCCAAATCTCACAAGTCTTGAAACTTCACGTGCTGGACTTGATTTATTTATTTATTTATTTTTCAAATTTCTTCCAGCCGCCAATGAAGTTTCATTGTTTCTTGACATTCTCTGTCTAAGTGATACCTGTTAACTTTTTCCTTCCCATTTGTGCTGTACACATAAATCATTTCATGTGAACACAGCAGTTGGCCTCGTTGGTCAAACTAGTTATTATTCTAGCCGTGTAGATGATTATTGGCGGCACGCCTCCGGACACCGGTGACATCCATCCCAACAGCGGGGTCCGCGTCAAATTGCGAATGTAGTGCAGCCTATACACTTCCTTCGTATTTGTCTTTTTCTTTTTGTACAGACCGGGTGATGCAACTTCTGGGATAGGGTCATTGAGTTATAATCTGCAAATTGATTTCTGTGATTTGCTTTCTCTTTGTTGAATTTTTTTGTCGGACTATTTTATGTTTGGCCATTCTCCATGGTGAGCAATTCACACCAACAATAACTATAATTTTTTCCAGCATAAATATATATATATATTTTTTTCACAATAACATTCTGATGAACTGGGTTTTAATGATCCGCTATCCACATGGATTTTCTATCATTTTTTTTTTTCACCACAATATTGCTCTATTATTTGACAGAAAATAGAGAATTTTCTTCCAAGTCTTGATTCTCACCAAGACTAGTTTGCTATTCATGCATTAGCCTTCAAAATCAAGAACCCAGATCGAATGGACTTATGTAGACAGCTTGATGAAGAGAGCTGATTTCATGGCTGGCGAGAAGTTGCTCGTAGAGGTCTGATCTTCAATCGAAGCATGGTATTTGGGACTCCTTTGAAGCTTTCGATTATGGGGGGAGTTTAATCAACCAGTAGGCAAGGGAGGCAAGGGATAGAACGAACAACAGATGCAGAGGATTTGCCACCAATAACAACATTATTGACAGTCACATTAACAACTTAGTCAACAGCACAAATTTGCCCGATAGACAATTGATAGAGCAAGAATAGACTCCGAAAGGTGGTACCACAAGCATAGATAGTGTCATCATCAGCCACGAATGTGACTATCGAAATTTTAAAGAACCCGGTGCATCAGCAAGTAATTCGAAAACTAACATGAACACTAGTCCTTAAACGCGGAAGCAATTAAAGAAAAAGGTCTCTAGAGATGGACACCGCTTGTAAGACGGCGAAGTGACCTCCTAAAAAGTCACGAGACTCAAATGGGAAACGAAAGCAGAAGCTAACTTTTAAAACGGACAATGACAAGAATGCAACTAGGGGTAAAATGGATGCTACCGAGCATACCATTGGATAGTCAATGAAAAATCAATAAACTTATATTAAAAAATCATCTGATTTGGAGTTAGAACGAAAGAAATATGGAATTTCGAAGTTTCATAAAAAGTTACAAAAAAATGTACAAAATTTTAGCTTAAAAACAAGGTGCCTAGGTGCGATCGATCGTATTGGGCTGCGAACAATGGGCTGCAACCTGCATTTTTTTGAAAATCCTTGAATTTCATTGTGAAAATGTGATTTTTTGGAAAAAGTTTGTGAAGCAACCCCCTTAAAATTGGTTCTAAGATCACCTATGGTCCAAACCAAGAATGAAAAGTTAAGTAAAATAAAGAAAATGCCCCCGAGTGCATGATATGTCAAAGAGATATATACATAATACAAAATGACATACTTTACATACATTAAAAATGTTTGGCCCTTGGTCTCATTACATACATGTTAATTTTACACAAAAAGGGGGTACTTGAGTGAATATTACACATACAAAAGGAAGCTAAGCAAGCGTCTAATTAGGTTACACATTATCAACCTCAAAAGACAAATACATCATGCTAACATTTGCATGCTAAAAACATACAAAAGATGTTCAAAATGTAACACAAGTCGAGCTACAGATGGTGTGCATCCAAGAAAAATACCTCTTTGCCTGAAAAACAATAATCAACTAGCTAGAGTGAGTAATTTGAATTACTCCGTAAGATTATGCAAAACAATAATCAATTAGGGTGAGTAATTTGAATTACTCCATAGGATGATGCATATGCGTGGTTTTGCAAGCATAATATAGACAAATACATATGGATCATGCTTCTTAACGTCTAGTTTCAAGGTGAAGCTAAGAAATCATCCTAAAACTAACTTTGAAGCATTTTAAACGCAATTCACATTAAATAACGCATTTAAACAACATTGGAACAACTAATACCAAATAACAAGTTACAATTACTTAGTATTATCAATTTGGAAACAAAATGTGAAATCAAACAATAGGAATATCTTGGACATCATGCCAATTATCAATCAAACGAAATAGCTATTTTAGGTTACTAACCCGCCGGTAACTACCCAAGTGGCCACTGTTTTAGAGAGAACTCGTATCTCCCGCACTAGAGCCGTACTCTAGCCATGTCATACAACGACGCCCCAATAAGTCAAAATCAATAAGTAATATAACAACATATACAATACACTTAACCACTTTCCATGCACAACTAAGTTTGAAACCACACAATTCATGCTCAAGTCTTCAAACTACTATGGCATTTGCAATGACAAGTCCACAATGTAAATAATAATACATGCACTAGCATAGTGATGCCAATTCAAATAATCAATTCATGATATTCAAGTAAGCCTTAAGCACTTAATTAAACTACAATACACACCATACAAGCTTACAACAATCCCATTGGCAAGAATAATACTAGAATCTCATAATTATAACCAAATGAAATTACTAGAAATTAATCCTCCACCAATCACAATAATAAGCTTTACAAGAACTATATTGTACACATGCTTTAATTAATTTAAATATAAGGAAACAAGTATACAACAACTACAATTCAATGAATTTAATAGTAGTATAACCCTTTACCAATTTAAATACTAAGCTTAACAAGATGCTAATTATATACATGCTTTAAGTAGTAAACAAGCCTAAGTTAAGTATGTATATAACAATTAGTAAATTATCCTCTACTAAATGAATACAACAACTATACAAGAATTAAATCATACACATGCCTTGAGTAATATGAAAACCTAAGTCAAATACATACAACCTTCATCCATATGCAATCCTA